TTTGAAGGTGGGCCAGGGGTACTACTCTGGGAGAAGAAACGGACAGGTGTCTTTGCCTCTGCAGGGAGCTGATCCTGAAGCACATGTGCTGAAGGAGTGTGTCCACCACCCTTGACGAAGCCTGCAGAGGTGTGCAGATGGCAGGGCACCGGTGAAGAAGAGCCAAGGTCCACAGGGGGTCCACTCATGGGACGCCTCAGTCACGTGGTCTCGGGACTCTGTAAAACTCACTAAATTAGGAGGGTGATGGCGTGTAGCTCAGTAGTAGAGCACCCGTGCGTTCTTCTCCTGAACCAAAATATAAAAACACAAAACACTTAATTTGTTGTAATTTATTCTCTTGTTCTGAATAAACATGTCCCTAATTTTATAATAATTTATTTGCATTTTTTCTTGAGGAGAGCTGTAGACGGCCCACACCTGGACAGGCTCCAGCAGTGTTCCACCCTGGTTGCCTGCCTCCTGTACAGCAGGTGGGTCATGGGAAAGCTAGGTCAAAGCAGGGACCCAGCCCCACCTCACATGACACCCAGCTGGCTCTGAGACATGAAAACCAGCGTCATCAGAAGCCACCTCTAGGGCTGGGGTGTGGCTCAGTGGCAGAGCGCCCGCCCACCTCGCACACAGGAGGCACTGGGTTCGATCCTCAGCTCCACATAAATATGAAATAAAGATATTGTGTCCACCTACAACTAAAAAATAAATATTTTTTTAAAAGAAGCCACCTCTGCAGGATGATAAGAGGACTTCCAGCCCCAGAGCTGTAGCAGCACTGCCCTGACGTGGAGAGGTGTGGCCTGTATGATATACACAAACCTGTGTCTGCAAATTCACCCACATGCTAAATTTGTTTGTAACCCCAAATCAAGGCTCATTGTGCTTCTCCAATCACTCAAGGCCATGCCCAGAGCAAAGAAAGATTTAAGCCACTGACCTGCGGCTCCTGCTGGGGTGGCCCAAGGCCCCACACTGCTTGCTCAGCTCATACTATAAAGAAGTATCCTTTCTGCTGTCTGATTGTTTGTTTGCTTATTTATTTAGGTACAGGGACTGAACCCAGAGGCTCTATCAGTGTCAGAAATGGTTCCCAGTACAGTGCTGGTGCTGTCAGGTGTTCCCTAGCACAAGATGGTTGTGACCTGTTCTCCCAAGGAAGGACAAGTGTCAGGAAGGCTGCAGTCAGGCCCAATAGACAGTGTCTCTGGGAAGTATAGATACACACTGAACATGGTGTCTTGAAACAGAACCACGCAGGAAATGAGAGTGTGTCACTCGAGTGCCAAAACTGTGATCAGACTGGTGGGGCCATCCCCAGGAGCACTGGTGCAGCCTGCCCTAGTTCAGGGCAGCGGGCAACAGACAGCATTTCTTTGTGAACCAGACTATACAAGCAATGAGCACCGACTGGGACCAACAAGACAGCCATGTCCTGACTATGTCCAGAACTAAAGGTCAATAAGAATAAGACACTCGGTAGAAAAAAGGCCAGGGTGCACGGCAGCCTCGTAAGAGCTACAGGGGCAGGTGCCCAAGGCAGGTGGAGCCTGCTTGCCAGCAGGAGAGGGGAAGCCAAATGGAGATTGCCTGCAGCCGAACTAGAGCCAGGATTGTGACAAGTGTGGAGGCCTGACTTAACTTTTTTTTTTAATATTTTTTTTTTAGTTGTAGATGGACACAATACCTTTATTTTATTTGTTTATGTTTTTTTTTTAAAGAGAGAGAGAGAGGGAGAGAGAGAGGGAGAGAGAGAGGGAGAGAGAGAGAGATAACTTTAACATTTTATTTTTCAGTTATTGGCGGACACAACATCTTTGTTTGTATGTGGTGCTGAGGATCGAACCCGGGCCGCACGCACGCCAGGTGAGCACACTACCGTTTGAGCCACATCCCCAGCCCTATTTGTTTATGTTTATGTGGTGCGGGGGATGGAACCCAGGGCCTCACGCATGCTAGGCAAGCACTCTACCACTGAGCCACAGCCCCATCCCGAAGACTTGACTTTTTGTGTGGATTTTTGGACAAGGGCTTGGCATTATCTTCCAAGGGAACATAGCATGTCCTATGACTGGTGTTAGTCTACGGTGGGATCTCTGAGCATGTGGTATCCAAACACAAGAAGAAGGCTCACAAAGCCTGATTCATAACAGCCAAGGTCTGCCGATACCCTGGGCCCACTGACAATAGAACAGATGAAGTGGAATACACACAGTTCCTACCAGGGGACAGCAACAGTTAAATGGGCTGATCCTGGAGCTCTCAGGCAAAACCCGGAGAGAGAGGCTGATCACCAAACAACACGTACATGGATTTTGAGTCTGTGCCATTTGGTACAGGCCAGCACAGATGACAATTCTGAGTGTCCTAAGGATGTCATAACAAGCGCCAAAACTGAGTAGGTTTAAGACTCAATGTCTCATTGTCCTGGAGGCTGCAAGTCACCATCAGCGTGTCCAGGGCTGGCTCCTCTGAGGTTTGAGACAGTTTCTGTGCCAGCCCCCTGCAGCTCCTGGCAGTTCTGGCCCCTGGGCTTGTAGACCACCACCCTGACCTCTGCCTTCATCTTCACAGGGCCTTGCCCCTGCGGTGAGTCTGTCCAAGCTCCCCTTCTACAAGGACACCAGTCATGGGGGACGAGGGCCCCCTAATCACCTTGTTTTAAACTTGATCATCTCTGTAAAGTCCCTGTCTCCAACTGAGTCACACTCCAAGGTGCTAAGGGATTCCAGTATATGAACTTGGCAGCACAATGCTACCATTACAGTGCACAGCGGCTCCCTTAGGAAGTGGGGAGGGCAGTGGACTCTCTCCAGAACCTGACCACACCAGCACTCTGACCCTGGACTTCCAGTCCCCAACGCCAGAGAAGTAAAGGCTCACTGATTAACCCACCCAGACAGAGAGGGAGAGAATAGGAGAGGCAACCCCACAGACTAGTGGGGTCAGAACTTAGAGGGGCCTGCACAAGAGACCATCCCAAGAGCTGTGGAAGATGCTGAAACACAGAGTCTCCATCTGGCGGGTGTTGTTTGGTTTTGATTCTTTGCAGAGGTTTCAAATTGCTCTGGAAGACGTTCTGGGAAGCTTGTGGGAGGGTGTGATGGAAATGCTGGCTGTTTCAATTAACATGCTAGGTCAGGAAACAAAGTTCTAGAGGAAGCAGTCAGGTGCACTCTTGTCTTCTCCTGAGTGCAGGGGGGAGTGTCCATGAACACTGTTCTTCCTTAACAGAAGTGCAGGCCGTGGGTGTGGGCCTCTGGGAACATCTGCCTCCTCAAGGCTCCAAGGTTGGGTCGAAGCCCTCCCATGGGCAAGAGGACTATGGGAGGCCTGCACAGAGGCAGGTCCAGGGCATAATCTGGTTGAGAAAGGAGAGAGGAGGGGTGGAGACCAGGGTCCTCACAGCTGGCTGGCTGGGGTGTGTAGGGCAAAGGGAGGGCTGTCAGTGGAGGGCAGCACAGTGCTACTCTCTGGGTGCAGGACGGAGGAGTCCTCAGAAGTGCTGTGCCTTCCCCTGACTCCTCAGCAGGGCCTCTGCACTAGCTGTTCCTCCTGCCTAGATGCTCTTCCTTAGGCCTCCTGGGCACTAAGTCTTGGGTCCTTCATCCATATCCAGTGGCTGGTTTACTCTTCAGTTTGTGGTCAGTCTGCCCCAGAGGCATCTCCAGGAGGGCCAGCTGATCCCTGGTATCCTGAGGCTTCCCCAGAGTTCTGCCCTCAGCTGAGGCTCAAGTGGACCAGTCCTGTAGTCATGGAGGACCACGTCTCCCCTCCCAGTTTCTTAAGGGCCTGCTCTTCTTTTTAGACTTGTCCGTGGAACCAAGAACAAGCTTCCTGTTTCCCATTCAGAAGTTCTAGCATATTCCCAGGCATTTCCTCTGCAGCAGCCCTGCCTGGAGACAGTATCCTCTCCTAATGTGCCCCTCCCTGTTTTCCTCTTCCCCTGGGCTCATCCCTTTGCTCTGGTGCAGCCTGCCCTAGTTCAGGGGTTCCCAGGTCTGGGTGCACCTCTCAGCCATTGGGTAGCAGGGATGGGCAAACCGGCTGCCCTGGTGACCTGGCTGGGGGCATCTAGATGTCCTGCAGGAGCCAGGTGGGTTCCCTAGGAGCCTCTTGGCTCAGATGCGCAGTGAGGCCGCCCCTACTCTAACCGACAGGAACAAGTTCCCCCTGCTGGCAAAGGAAGTAAGGTGACTAATATGGACTGCCCCCAGATGTCACCAGCACCACCCTGACAAGTCAAGTCGTGCATGCTGGGGTTGTCCCTCCATTGAGTGACCGGCTCCATGGATTCCAGAACTAGGACTGTGGTGGGACGGGTTTTTCCACGCGGGAAGGGTGGCTCCCTCCCATGGCCCCCACCTCCGTGGTGGGGATAGTGACCAAGAGTGCGTCAGGGAGGTCAGCACAAACCCAGCTTCCAGCCACACTGCAGCCCCGAGACAGCGGCACGCGGGGTCCTAGCCCTGGAGCCCCTCACCGCTCTCTTGCCCTCTGTTGGGTCCTTAGTGAACCCGGGCAGAAAGGCAGAGCCTGGGCCCCGGAACCCGCCCAGCAGCGCCAGGCAGTGACTGCCTCTCGCTGGGATCAGCGTCCTGCGTGGGAGGTGTCGATCCACACAGCCACAAGCATGGGAGCCGCAGGTGCAAAGGCTTCAAGTCCGGTGTCGCGACGCCGCAAGCGGGGAATTACAGCCCCGGCTCGGGCCTGCCAGACGATCCCTGGCGGTTAGGAAGAAACCAAGTCGACCACCTCGGTTCCCCTGCTCGCCCCGCCCACCGGGCTGGGACCAGCGCTCTGCAGGCCCCGCCCCGCCTGGACGTCCCGCCTCTCCAGGACAGGCCCCACCCCTCCTCCCCACTGGCCCCGCCCCGTGCGCTCAGCCCCGCCCCCCGCGTCCCGATCCCGCTTCGCCGTCTCCGCCCTCACCAGGCCCCGCCTCGGTCCGCGCATGGCCCCGCCCTGCGCCTGCTCAGTAGGCAGAGCAGTCGGAAGCCGGCGCGGGCGGAGCACGGCGTCAGTCTTCCAGCGCCGACTCGGCCTGTACCCGCCTGCGATCAGGGCTCGCGCTGCTCGGACCGGGATGGCAGCGGCGACCGAGCCCGGGGCACGCGCCTGGCTGGGCGGCGGCTCCGTGCGCCCCAGCAGCCCGGCCAGCAGCCCTGTGCTGGGTGCCCGAGGCCACGCGCGCCAGGGGCCGGGGCCGGGGTCGGAGCGGGCTGGCGGCAGAGCCCCTGGCCCCGCCGCTGCGGGTCACAGCTTCCGGAAGGTGACGCTCACCAAGCCCACCTTCTGCCACCTCTGCTCCGACTTTGTCTGGGGGCTCGCCGGCTTCCTGTGCGATGGTGAGCGCGCGCCGCCGGCCGGAGCCGCGTCCCGAGAGGCTGCCTGGGCGGGACGCGCCCTGACCTCTGCGCCGCGGGCCCGCACGGGCCTTGTCTTCCCGGAGCGCGGTGCCGGGCCTCCCTCAGCACACTGTCGCTCATCCCTGCCCCTCCTGCCGCAGGATTCCTGGGCTCCCTTGTCGGAAGTCGGGGAGTGTCGCCACGGTGTGGCGCTGGGATTGAGTTGGGGGCAGTTGCAGGGCCCGGGATAGAGCCAGCTGGCCCTAAGACTGGCCAGACCTCTCTGGGGTTCCCAGTTCTGGGTGCATCTCTCAGCGATTGGGTAGCAGGGATGGTCAAACCGGCTGCCCTGGACCGCGGGTACTGGTCATTCTCTTCTTGAATGCATGCTGTTGCCCAGAGGGACTGAATGTTGGCTCTGCTCAGAGTCTGCTGCGTGGAGAGCCTGGCTGGGTCTCCTCCCAGTTGTGGCATGTCCCAACAGGGCTCCCACCCAGCTGCCAAGCCAGCGAGGCAGCCCTGTCTTTGCCTCAGGGGTGCATCTGGGCTGGGCCTCTTCTGGACTTCTCTCATGCCGGCAGGCAGGCCCTGGGGCCCTCAGCCCAGCTATGTGGAACACATGGACCTTTGGCACTTCCTATGTCCTGGTCAGGGGCTGGAGGTGGGACTGGCTGAGGAACTTCTACCCTGCTCAGGGAGAGAGGCCTTTGCTCTAGAGTGGAATCTCTCAGGCCAAAGACTCACATAGGGGTGTCTTCTGCCAGTGAAAAGGGTGTGGCCAGCTGGCATAGGGGTGATCACTGTGGTTTCTCTGACAGATCAGAGACTGCACTGCTCTGCCTGCTCCCAGGAATGTTGGGGCTCCATTATGGTGGAGGGTGTGCATGTGCAGGCCAAGTGAGCTCCAAGTCAGGCTAGATTCCAGGACCCCATGCACAAGTGAGAGGTAGAAAAGGCGGGGCTGCAGGCAGGTAGAAGGTAGACCACAGGATTCCCTGCACAGGTGAAAGGCACAGAAACAGAGCTCCAGGTCTGAGACTGATCCCTGTGAAGGTGGCAGGTGATGAATGTGGAACTGTAGGTTTGAGGCTGGAGCACTGAGAGGTGTGAAGGCAGAAGCCAAGTATAAGACTAGACTCCTGGTCCCCTTCACAAGTGGGCCCCTGCAGGTGGGTTCTAGGTTCAAGGGGCTCAGGAACCTTCAGCCTAGCCTTGGGCAAAGCAGCTCACTGAGGGGCTGGCCTGATGTGTGGGAGATGATGGAGAGGCCATTTCCGGGCAGTATCTGTAAAGATAGGACTGTGACCTGGGCAAACAGGGCTTGGAAAGGGTGTGGGGAGATGTGCTCCTCCCAGCAGCACCCAAGGCATGGAATGCGGGATCAGGCACCACCTCCCCTCCCAGTGAAGGAAGCTGGCAGTGTCTTTGTCCCAGAGTGAACAGGGAGCAGGGCCCCTGGGGAAGGCTGGAGGACTCCTTCTCCATCTCCTGCCCCCCACAGTCCCAGCTTACTTTCACACGTTGTCTCTGGAGCAGTCTACGGAGAAACTTCTGCCTGTTCCCTTCTAAGGCTGGGAGGTGAGGGTCCAAAGGTTGGGGGCAGCTTGCCCTCTGGGAGGTGCCTAAGAATGGGGCTGCCTTGAGGCCCCACGGGCAGGTTCACTCCAGGCAGTTTTGGAATTTGTGTTCTTTGCCCCTGTGGCCTTGTCCACCTTTCCTACCCTTGGGGCCCAGCTTGGACCCCTTGCCCCTCTGTCTTCTCTTGGCTCTGAATGTGCCACGACAGACTGCCCTCTGCCCCTTCTGACCATCATCTCTCTGCTGCTGAGCCTTTGCCCCTGTTGAGGCCCAGGGACACTTTGCCTCCCCAGGACCAGGGTGCCATGTCTGCTGGCCCCAGTGCTGTCCTGGCCTTCCCACCTAGCCAGTGTTTAAGTTCTCACTGTCTTTGGAGGCTTAGGGAAGTCTCCCTGCTGGCAACTCCTGCCTTTGGGAGCCCTCACCTGGCTAGGTGCCCCACCTGCCTGGTGTGGCTCTAGATATTAGGCACAGCCCATAGAATGTGGCAGGAGCAGTTAGGAGAGGATGCAGTTGTGGGAGCAGGAGGGAAGAGTGTCCCAGGCAAAGCTGCTCTTGGTAGGTGTGTAGAAGTTTTTGAAACCTCTGCCTGCTGTGGCCAGGACCATCCCTCTCATAGGGCCAGCTGCAGAGGTGCAGGGGGACCTGGGCCTGCTGTTTCCCAGGATGGCCACAGCACCAGTCCCTATCTGTGGATGAGGGTAGGGAACATGGGGATCTGTGTTAATGCCGTCACCTGGCTTCATATTATGGGGATAGCAGGAATGGCTTCTCCACTGCCCAGTCGTCAGGGCAGGCACCACAGCAGCTCACTGGAGGGACCTCTTCCATCAGCTGTGCCAAAATCCACTGTGATGGGTACTCAGGCCCTGTGGCAGAGTGCTAGTGCCCTGCTGTAGCCCTGCTGGGCAAGGCTAGGGGCCAGGCCCTGGGTCCTGGGGCCTCTCATCTCCTGGGTAGGAGGTGACTGCCCTGCAGGACCAGGCCACTGACACGGCTCTTGTTCCTACAGTCTGCAACTTCATGTCCCATGAGAAGTGCCTGAAGCATGTGAGGACGCCGTGCACGGGCATCGCGCCCAGCCTGGTGAGGGTGAGTGCCACCCTAGCAGTGCGTGTGGGCCCTTGTGGGGCCAGGGCCTGCCTGGCTGTCCTACTTGTCAGCTTGGTCACACCGTGATTAAGAAGTGAAGGGCAGAATCCTGCTCAGCCATCTAAGGGAAGGAGCAATTGATGACACCAAGCACCTGGGTGGATCCCCAGGTGTCGTGCCTGGGGAGGCCAGTCCCACAGGGTACATGCTCTACCACCCTGCCCAGTAGCAGGTGAAATGGGATGCTGGGAGAGTTCAGGTTGTGGGTAGAGGAGTGGGCATGGGTACCAGGTACATCATGTGGGTCTCCTCGGGCTGGGTGCTCTGATTCAGCATCACTGTCACTGCCCTGCTGTGATACCTACCAGCTCTGTCTGATGTGGCCCTTGAGCCCACAAATGCTCAAGGTAACAGGCTTATAGAAACAGAAGGCCCAAGCCTAGGAGCTGGAGGAGTTTTGGCCATCTAATTCCCTCTTCAGGGTTCTCGATGGGGTGTTCAGGCACCTGGCTGAGGTCTTTGCAGGGTGCAGGGACTTCTCTTTTGTGGGTGATGGCAGCCAAGTGTTTAGGGAGGACTGATGGCATCAGTGGTCACCTGTGCCCTGCATACAGCATCACACCTTATTTACCTGGCTGCTAGCTGGCTGTGGGCAGTGGGACCACTGACCACCATGTTGGTGCAGTGGGCTGGAGCTCAGCGCAGCAGTGCTGTTGGTGTGGTGGGCTTGTGCCTGTGGGTGAAGGGGGCCGGGATGCAGGTCACCTGCTGCCAGGTGGTGTCTGCCCTGGGATACTTGATGCTGTGTTTGGGGAATGACTTGAATACCATGTGTGAGCCCAAAAGGGCCTGTGGATACTGGCTTCAGGTGCTGGCTTAGGGTGTCACATTGGCTGGGGTGGCCCTTCATGTAGACATTTATGGCTATATTCTAAAGTTGGTCTTAATGTTTCCTCTTCACTTAAAAAAATTAAAAATTAAATTAAAAAATTTAAAAAAAGTTAAAAATTTCAAATATATATGAGATAAAAATTTGGAGGATATAGATATTTTTAAAAAGCCAGGCATGGTTGCACACACCTGTAATTCCAGCAACTCAGGAGGCTGAAGCAGGAGGATTGCAAGGTCAAGGCCAGCCTGGGCAACTTAGTAAGGCCCTGTCTCAAAAAATAAAAAGGACTGGGGATGTAGCTCAATGGTAAAGTACCCCAGGGTTCAATCCCCAGTACCAAAAAACAAGATAAAGAAATATACACCAGCCTCTGTGCCCATGGTTGCCATTCTGGCTTGCAAGCTTTCTGTTTACGATCCCTTCTGCTGTGCACATGGTAATTGAAGGACTGGAAAAAGAAGGGATCCCTCTCCATCTCTATCATGGGAAGGCAAGGTTCACAGTGCTTGTGGCCGACTGCCTCCCAGAGGGTAGACCTGGAGGTGGTGGCTTCAGGAGCCTTTGTAGGGAGGAGACAGCAGCCAGGGAGGAGATGCAGGCCAGACTGGCAGAGGCTGAGGCTCACTCTGCCCTGCAGGTCCCTGTAGCCCACTGCTTCGGCCCCCGGGGGCTTTACAAGCGCAGGTTCTGTTCTGTGTGTCGCAAGGGCTTGGAGGCACCCGCACTTCGCTGTGAAGGTACCACTGGCCCCACTGGCCTCCTAGGCTGAGCCCCTCACCCAGGGCCTGGTCTCTCTTGCCCAGGGTGGCCTGCCCCCTGGTAGCCTGCCCTCCCCCAGTCCATGGTTTGTTAGGGAAGTGGGGGTAGGCGCAGGGCCGGCCTGGGGAGCTTCCGAAGGAGGGGTGCACACCACGCCCCATGCAGGTAGGTAGGAAGGGGATTCCTTGGTGGCAGGGGTTGGGGTCGGACCCAGCCCCAAATGGGAGGCCTGCAAGGAGGGCGGGGGCAGGGGCATGGTGAGAGCCCCTAACCCTGCCCGCCCCCCAGTGTGTGAGCTGCACGTTCACCCCGACTGTGTGCCCTTCGCCTGCAGCGACTGCCGCCAGTGCCACCAGGATGGACACCAGGACCATGTGAGTGCAGGGGCCTGGGTGAGGGCAGGCCTGGGCAAGGGTGGGCCGTGCCACTGACTGCTCCCTCCACAGGACACGCATCACCACCACTGGCGGGAGGGGAACCTGCCCTCCGGCACGCGCTGCGAGGTCTGCAGGAAGACGTGTGGGTCCTCCGATGTGCCGGCAGGTGTGCGCTGCGAGTGGTGTGGTGTCCAGGTGGGCATGGGCTGGGGGCTGGGTGGGAGTGGAGCCCTGGGATAGCCCTGGTTGGGGTGGGCCCTGGGGATGGGCTGAGGTGTCCGTTTCCTGGATCTGGTCTACACTGTGCTGTCTTGGGGATGAGGGCCCCTGTCTTCTCTGGTCTGGGTGAGGCCACCTCTTTCCCAGTGCGTCAGGCTCGCCCCATGTCCCCCAGGCCCATGCGGTGTGCTCCACGGCGCTTGCTCCAGAGTGTGCGTTTGGGCGCCTGCGCTCCATGGTCCTGCCCCCCTCGTGTGTGCGCCTGCTGTCCCGCAACTTCAGCAAGATGCACTGCTTCCGCATTGCTGAGGCTGTGGTGCCAGAGCCAGGTGAGGCTGTGGGTGGCCTTGGGGGCACCAGGGTCCAGGTTGGCAGAGCGTTGACAGATCCATGTCCAATATGCAGGTGACAGGGACGATGGAGCAGATGGAATTGCTACCGGGGTGCTGGGCAGAGAGGCCCTGGTGGCTCCAGAGTCAGGTAAATGCCCAATAGAGATCAGCTGGTCCCCACGCTCCCCCTATGGAGTCCTCACTGTTCCCTCCTGGCCCAGGCAAGCAGACCCTGAAGATCTTTGATGGCAATGATGCCATCAGGAGAAACCAGTTCCGCCTGGTGACTGTCCCGCGGCTGGCCAGGAGCCAGGAGGTGCTGGTAAGAGGGAGGCCAGGGTCGGGCCACACGTCTGTGAGGCCCCAGTAGCGGCCACACCCAGGTCCCCACACCGATTACCCCACCAGGCCTCCCCACATCATTTTCCCCCCACCCCCCGCAGGAGGTGGCGCTGCGGGCCTACTGTGTCATTGAGGATGCTCGGGACTTTGAGCTGCAGGCGCTGCCCCTGCCTTCACTGAGTGGTGACACCCAGGCCCTGGGGAAGACTGGGCTAAGTGGTCCTGTAGAGGAGGAGGGCAGCAGAGTCTCTGGGCCCCAGGAGCCCATGCCCGAGGCCTGGGTCATTCGTTCCTTGCCTCGGACGCAGGAGGTCCTGAAGATCTATCCAGCTTGGCTCAAGTGAGGCCCAAGGCACGGGGTCAGCTGGGGGAGGGAATGGGGTAGGAGCCCAGGGCCCAAGCTCCAAGCCTGTCCCCTGCAGGGTGGGTGTGGCCTACGTGTCCATCCGTGTGACCCCACAGAGCACAGCGCAGACCGTGGTGCTGGAGGTCCTCCCGCTGTTCGGGCGCCAGGTGTGTATGCTGGGCCCGCCTAGTTCTGACAGACCTGGGGATTCCCTACCCAGTGGGCCCTGTCGCTGTCCCCTAAGGTGTCCTGGGGAGGTGGTCAGGCCTGATGCCTTTCCTGCCTTGCAGGTTGAGGGTCCTGAGAGCTTCCAGCTGGTCGAGGTGCTCATGGGCAGCAAGCAAGGTGGGTGAGTAGCCCAGCAGTGCTCTCATGCCCTACACACATCCCGGGCCTCCCAAGCCTGTCCTCAGGATGTTGGGGCTGGTCTTGCCTATGTCCCCATGTGCCTGGGTTCTCAGGGTGGCTGTTGGCTGATGTAGGGAGGAGCCCACCCGTAATGAGCTGTGCCCCTCAACCCCACAGTCCAGCGGACAGTGCTAGCAGATGAGGAGCCCCTGCTTGATCGGCTTCGGGACATCCGGCAGGTCAGTGGGTGTGGACACTGGCCCCAGTGTACTTGTGGCCCTTAGCCATGGCCTTTGCCCCACAGAGGGGTGTCTCCTTCCTAGCAGGCAACTGACTGCCCTGGCTGGCAGTGCCCTCCATGAAACATCGTCACCCAGCAAGAGGGCCTTGAGCCACAGACTGCCCCAGTTCCTTGAGGGGGGCAGGGCTCACCCAGAGGAAGGCAGCCCTGGTGCCCTTCTTACTTCTGTTGCCCCTGGTTGATGGGGAGTGGGCGCTGGTGGCACTGCCCAGCATCCCTACAGCCCTTGCCCTCCCTACAGACATCTGTGCGGCAGGTGAGCCAGACACGGTTCTATGTCACCGAGAGCCGGACCGTAACCCCACACGTCTCTCTGTTCGTGGGTGGCCTGCCACCTGGCCTGTCCCCCCAGGAATACAGTCACCTGCTGCATGAGGCTATGGCCACCAAAGGTGTGACCCTGGGCTGGCCAGGGCTTCTGGCTGGGGTGGTTCTCCTGCCCTTCCCGCCATTTGAACCCCGACTCCATTCCCACCCTAGGCACAGCCCACTCAGCTTCCTATCCTCTGTCATTCCTCAGGGATCTCTGCTTCCCCCTGTGGGGTCCCTGGACCTCCAGGGGGCAGGGCCCTGCTCTGGAGTGGGATACCTTTGGGAGGGGGAGTCGGGCAGCCTTGGCACCATGCACCCCTGACACAAGTCTGTCTGCAGCTGCCGTGGTGTCCGTGAGCCATGTCTACAACTCGCAAGGTGAGCTGCACCCACGGACTCCGGAGGTGGGTGGAAAAGCTATCTTTCTCCCTCCTTCAGAGCTTGGAGCCATACCTGCCGGCTTCTGATGCTCCTGTGTCAGTGTGGCTCAGGCTCAGCTGTGCTCTCCACGCCCCTCCTGCCATGGTCCTGCCTCTTGCTGGGGAGGTTCCAAACATGCCCATGACCTGCCTACCCGGGGATGCTGGGTGTGGGTGTGAGGATTGTGGTGCAGGGAACGGGCCCACTGCCCACTGTTGGGTTCAGTTACTGAGCCTGGCCATCCTTGGAAGCACTCTGGGGTGGGGAGGCCCCTCACTGTAGATGCCAGCATCAGTGCGCTGACTCTACATGGCTGTGGCTAGAGCTGGGGCTGTTACCAGGGGACTGAAACCCTGCTCTGGGCACCATGGGAATGGGGCAGTGTGTGCACAGGGCAGGCCCCCGAGCTGCCCCATGGGCGGGTGGGGTGGGTGCGCAGGGCAGGCCCCTGAGCTCTGGCCACCTGTGCAGGTGCGGTGGTGCTGGACGTGGCCTGCTTTGCTGAGGCTGAGCGGTTGTTCATGCTGGGCAGGGACACGATGGTGCGTGGCCGGCCGCTGTCGCTGCTGGTGCTCCCAGACGTGCTGGTGAGTGGGCAGTTCTGGGCTGTGCGTGGTTCTCCAGGGTGGAACCTGCACATCTTCCATCCTCATGGCTGGACGCGCTCAACCACCATCTCCCTCGAGTGTGCTGGGGCTGGTAGTGCCACCTTGGTCAGGCCTCACCATAGCCAAGGGTGGACAAGGCTGCCCACTTAACACCAGAGGGACCGAGGTCTGAGGGTCCGTGCTTGCTGGTGGGTGAGACCCGCTCCTGGGGGCTGGGGTTGGCTGTCTGTTCTGGATTCCTGTCTCTGTGCTGTGGGGAGGCCACAGGACGCAGCTCCTGACTGTACAGCAGCCGCTTGCTGAGAGCCAGAGCCTGTTACTGTACCATCATCATTCTGGCCTGTCCTCTCCACCTGTCTTGGGGGGCCGTAGGGGCCCTGCTCCACACCCAGGGCTTGACCAGCCAGTGTAAACCCGTCACTGGGGCGCCCCTCAAGACCTACCTGTACCTGGAAGAGGGTGGCAGGGTGACACAGGGCCAGAGCAGCACTCCCTGTGAGCACAGGGGTGAGCTGCAGGAGGGCTGGAGCCTGGACCTCCGTCCCACACCCTCATGGTGGCCTGTGGCTCTCAGCCCTGCCTGCCCCTGCATGTTCCTCAAGGCCCCCAGGCATCCATGGCGACTTTGCCCTGCCTGCCGCTGCTCGTCCCACAAGGCCCAGGTGTCCACAGCTATTTTGTTCTTGAATCCTGGCCCTTGACCCCCGACATAAGCCCAGGAGAAAGAATTAGTCTAGGGGTCTGTGACTGAGTAGGAAATGCCCATAGATCCTTCCTGTCCTTTCCCTACCTGGTCCTATCCTGGCCAGGCCAGGTGACTGTCCCCACTTTCTGAGGATTCAGTCCCTGTAGGCCAGGGCTCAGGCACACCACAGCCCCGTCCTGTTTGCTCCATGGGCAGAGCTGGGCCTGAGGCCGACACCGCTTTCTCTTTCCCGTCAGCTGCCTGCCTTGGGGTGAGTGGGTAAGTGGTGAGTGCAGGCGGCCTTGCCTGCCCCTCGGGCCACAAAGCCCCAAGTGTGTCCTTGCCCAGCCACGGTCTCGTCCGTGTGCCACTGCCCACCCTGTGTCTGTCTCGTCACCCCACCCTGTCACAGGGATGCTGCCTGGCCCACTGTCTAGACTCCTAGGCTGGTCTTGGGGTTGTGTGTGGGAATTGGGAGACAGGTTCTGTCTCACAGCTCAAGGGAGACGTGTAGCCACCCTGAAAACAGCATTTTTCCTGGAAGCTGCCAATCTCCAAAGGGTAGGTGGGTGGCCCTTTGAGGGCCAGGCCTGGTGTGCTGGCTAGCAGCACCAAGCAGGGCCCTATGGGCTGTGTAGCCTGGCAGGTGGGTGTGGCTGGCCTTTGTGCCTGGACCGCCAGGCAGCCAGCCGGCCTCCTTGCTGCCCACTGGCCACAGCCTGTGGTCCTGAGGTCAGCACCGGTGCTCATGTGGGGAAGCAGCCCTCCCTTCTTTGGGAGGGCTGCTCTGGCCAGTGGGCTCGGGGCTCAGAGCAGACGCTGCATGGCAGCCCAAGGACCTTGGCCCTACCCTGACCCTGCCCTCCTGCTTCTCAGCACATGAAGCTGCCCCCAGATTGCTGCCCGCTCCTCGTGTTCGTGAACCCCAAAAGTGGGGGCCTCAAGGGCCGAGACCTGCTCTGCAGCTTCCGCAGGCTGCTGAACCCACACCAGGTCTTCGAGCTGACCAATGGGGGGCCTCTTCCTGGGTGAGTCAGGGTCTGCTGCAGGCGGGAGGGCCCCGCTGCTATCTGTGGCCACTGGGAACTCCAGTTGGAGCTCCAAGATGGAACCTTCAGGTCCTCTATGTGGCTGGAGACAGGCATGTGGAAGGAGCTGCTGCACTGTGGTGGGACACTTCCTGTTTCCTGCTGCAGGTTTCATCTGTTCTCCCAGGTACCCTGCTTCCGGGTGCTGGTGTGTGGTGGGGATGGCACCGTGGGCTGGGTGCTTGGCGCTCTGGAGGAGATACGACACCGTCTGGCCTGTCCAGAGCCATCCGTGGCCATCCTGCCCCTGGGCACAGGTGGGGCCAGCCGTTGAGTTGAAGACTGGGGCCTCATGGCTCTCCCTGCCGCTGGTTTTGCTCCAGGCCTGTGCTGGGTTTTCTGTCCTGTGCTGGGGGCTCTGTTCTGTGATGGTATGTGAGAGTCATTGCCTTACCTCTGTCCTAGGGAATGACCTTGGCCGAGTGCTCCGCTGGGGGGCAGGCTACAGCGGGGAAGACCCGTTCTCTGTGCTTGTGTCTGTGGATGAGGCTGATGCTGTGCTTATGGACCGCTGGACCATCCTGCTGGACGCCCAGGAGGCCAGTAGTACCGAGAACAGTGTAGTGGACACAGAGCCCCCCAAGGTACCAGTGTGCCCCCTGCTTGGCTCTTGCAGGTGGCTCTTGAGGTGCACAGAAATGCTCCCTCCTCAGCCACGTGCAGGAGTACTGGCACCCCCGCTTGGAATATGAGGCTGCTCCTCTGAGCTGCTGGTGCGGTGGATTGCACTGGGGTGCTGGGGGCTGGCTGGTGACCTGCTGACACCCTTTTCCTCAGATAGTGCAGATGAGTAACTACTGTGGCATTGGCATTGATGCTGAGCTCAGCCTGGACTTCCACCAGGCGAGGGAGGAGGAGCCTGGCAAGTTCACCAGCAGGTACCACAAGGGCAGGGCCAGGAGCTGGGGCTTCTGTCGGCAAGGCAGCAGCCATCAGCCAGTGACCGCAGGTGTGTCTCCTCCGGCAGGTTCCACAATAAGGGTGTGTATGTGCGGGTTGGGCTACAGAAGATCAGCCACTCCCGCGGCCTCCACAGGGAGCTCAGGCTGCAGGTTGAACAGCAGGAGGTGGAGCTGCCCAGCATTGAGGGCCTCATCTTCATCAACATCCCCAGGTGTGGGGCTGGGCTCCCAGGAGACTGCGTGGCCTGGGCTGAGCAGTGTCAGCTGGGCCTAATCTGTGCACGCCCCTCCCTCCTCTTGGGGCAGCTGGGGCTCAGGGGCTGACCTGTGGGGCTCAGACAGCGACCCGAGGTTCGAGAAGCCACGCATGGACGACGGGCTGCTGGAGGTGGTGGGTGTGACAGGCGTCATGCACATGGTGAGCACGGGAGCCCAGCGGGCGGCCCTCATGGCACCCGCGGGCCCACTAAGCCTGGCCTGTCTCTGCCCAGGGCCAGGTGCAGGGTGGGCTGCGCTCTGGGATCCGCATCGCCCAGGGTTCCTATTTCCGAGTCACGCTCCTCAAGGCTACTCCTGTGCAGGTGGATGGTGAGCCCTGGGTTCAGGCCCCGGGGCATATGATCATCTCAGCTGCTGGTCCCAAGGTATGGTGATGAGGGCTAAGCCCAGGTGGGCTGTGGCTGTGCAGCGGCCATTGCTGCTCAAGTGGGCTGGGCCTCCTAGAGGCCAGGTGGTCATGGGATCCTGGTAAGGGTGGCCAGGCCTCAAAAGACATGAGTCCTGGGCCTCAAGAGAAGAGGCCTGGCTGAGGATGGGCAGTGAGCTGAAGATGGCCCCATCCAGGGCATTGGCCTCCTGGGCTCCCAGGACTGTGATCCATGTCATCCTGACCCTTCCCCCATCTCAAACAGGTGCACATGCTAAGGAAGGCCAAGCAGAGACCCAGAAAGGTTGGCACCACCAGGGACGCCAGAGCAGACACCTCATCTGCCCTTGAGGGTGACCCTAAGTAGAAGCTTAAGAAGGCTGGTTTCCTGTCTTCAGCTGCTCCGAGTTCACACACTGGCTGGCCAGCAGATGGACCCATCACCTGGACCCCAGCATCTTCCCAGGCCCAGATGTTTCCGGCTCTTGTCCTTGTCTGGTGTTACGTGGACACTGATGGGAGGCGGGTGGCCATCTCCCCCTTGGCCCAAGGGCAGCTGTGTAGCAGGTGGGCACTGTTCCCTCAGGGGCTGGGATCCCACACCGGTGTTAGTCATGGAAGTCCTGGGGAAGGGAGAACCGGGAGATAGGGCCCAGGCTTCCCTCCTGGGGGTCGACACCCTCTCTTTGTAACCCTCCACCTGAGCACTATAACTGGACAGCACTGGACAAGGGCCACGTGTGCCACTCTGACCATTCCCCTGGAACTACTACTGGACCTCCTACTGGCCCTGTAGTAGCAAGTGCTGTCAGCTTTTCCTGCCCCTCCCGGTGGGAAGGTGGCCACCTCTGTTTGTCTTGGGGAAGGTGCCTTCCCTTTTTTCCAGCTTGCACTGTGGAATGTGGCTGCAGGGTCTGTGCAGTACTGACTGGGCCTGGCTACCCTTCTCTAGGGCTGGTGGCGAAGGCTAAGGCAAGGGGAACGGCATTCCCACACCTGTCAGTCCACCTTGAGCCCAGTTGGAGTGTGGGCTGGGCCCTGAGCATATTCCCTTGGGCCCCAGAGTCCACGGGCAGGGCTGGCGTGCACTGGTGGAAGTGTAGACCACTGCCAGGCCTCAGGCTCAACCACAGCACTTTACATGCCTGCTGCTTGCCAGCAAGTGTCCCATGTTCCCTTCCTGCCCTGGCTGTGTACCCCAGGCAGTTCTGCTTCCGGGCCACCCTGGGGCACCATGCCAAGATAGCCCTTGCACCTCAGATCCCAAAGGAGTTTGACCAGAAACGAGAAACCTATGTGGGAAGTCTCCAGAGGTCCCAACCCTAAAAAAGAGACCTCAGTCAGATCTTCTCCCTTTGTCTGCTGGCACTGGGTCTGCATGGCCATGGCCCTTGACCTCAGAAGTGGCTGTGGCCTGGCCTGCAGCCCTGGAGAGCCTTGGTGCCATTAAGCCCAGCCCCTTCTCCTGCTTCTGCCAAAATTGCACAAATGCGTCCTGGGGGCCACTTGTGGTCTCTTGTATAGACATTCCTTGTGTTCATGTCATATGTAATGTCCGAAACACGTCTTAGTGGTGTAACTAGTTTTTGCCTTGATTCTCATTTGCAAGAATTGTTTGTTTGTTGTGGTCAGTGTGGCTTGTCCTCCATTTACGTGAGACTGTCTGCCCACTGGGTGTGTGTGTCCCTGTGTGCTAGTCCTGTGTGTGACTGACTAACCACTCCTTGAATGTGACCTAATTTATATCAGGATGAATAGAATCTGGACTCCACTGTTCCATGGCCATCTCTTCTTCATTTGTGACAGGTGGGGAGGGGGTGGTGGACTGCAGTCTCACCAGGGCAGCTCTGCACTGATGGGAGGGTGGGCCAGGGCATGGCTACAGGGGGTACAGGCGGTGGGGCAGGAGGACCACTGGCTTCAGGTTCCAGAGGGGCGTTCTTCCTGGTAGTGTTGGAGTCTAGGAGGAAAGTGGGTGGCTAACAGCAGAGACTGAGTTCCTGTGGAACTCCTCATAGTGTAAAAAGGAGGACAGTTTGCATACTCTGAAACAGATCTTGATATTTCACAATGGAGGCAAAACCCAGACTGTAGCTCCATGGGGCCTGCTGGCCCAACCCCCAAGGCTTCCTTCCCGGGCAGGCATAGCTTCCACTAGCAGGAGGAAGGCAGGAGCTGGGACTGGGCCTCCTCTGGGGCCTGGCTCTGGAGGGGTTGTGCTGGCCGCAGGTGGCGTAGGCCACGTAGGCTGGCCAGAGCCAGGCGCACGAGGAGGCGCAGTAGCAGAAAGGCGAAGGGCACTGCAATCTGCATGACGTGGAAGATGGCTGTGCTGAATCTGCTCAGCAGGCAGGTGGCTGCAAAGGCCAGCAGGCTGGCACAGGGGTATAGCGCAAGCTTGGCAAACATGAAGGCATGCTCCTGCCCACCAAATCGCACAGCTGGCTGCAGCGTCTCCGCCTGGCGCAGCAGGGCCGCAGTCCAGATGGCAAACTGGAAGATGCTGGCGAAGAAGACAATGGCACAGCTGAGGCGCACACGCTCCAGCTCATCTCGTGGCTGCCTGGCGAAGGCTGCAGTCTGCTGGTAGGCCAGAGGGAGGCCACCCACAAAGGCCAGGGAGAGGGTGTTGAGCAGACCCATGGCCTGTGTGGCCTTGCGGACGTGCAGGAAGAGCGAGTGGTGTGCAAACCAGAGCAGACCCACTGTGGCAAAGGAGCCGAAGTATGCCAGGAAGTGTGGCCCATAGGCGCCCAGGGCTGCCACGAGGCTCCCGCGGAACTGTTCCTTCACGGCCTTGGGGTCTGGGACGTTGTCCTCGCTGAGGAGCATGAACACAGGCATTTGCACCAGCCTCCCCAGGAGCCCACAGGCCCCAGGGAGGTGGGCTGAACATCCGTGCTAACTTGGGCAGACACCTGGACACCTCTGCACAGGAAATGTTCCTGATGTGGTATCGTGTGTGTGGCACGCTGAGGTGTTTATGCTCTCCTTAGTTCACCCGGAACAGATACCTAACTGGCATGCTCTCTGCTCTCCTTGCTGGGAGCAGCCCTCACCCATAAGAGGCTCCAACAATGTGCCTGGCCCTGCAGGCCCAAGAAAGACACCTTTCATCAAATAATGTGGAGGATGGTGGCTCCTGAGGCAGCCAGAGACCTGCACCTCCAAAACTGTGGGCAGTGGGGAAGGGTGTGTGGGAGAACCTGGGGGTCACACAGGAGGAGCACGTGACCTGCGGATGGTGATGGGCTTCCCCTCAGCCATACTTCCCCACCCACAGCATCTGGCTGCAGGGCAGAAGAAAACAGATCATAGGCTTTAGGAATCAAGTACTACAAAAAATATTTGCTACGAATTTTTAAAACTTCACAGTACAGGGGTGCATGCCTATAACCCCAGCTAACTTGGGAGGCTGAGGTCAGCCTGGGCACTTAGCAAGGTGTCAAAATAAAAGGGCTGCAGATGTAGCACAGTGGTAGAGTACCTTGATTAAACCCCCAGTACTGCAAAAACAAGCAAACAAAAACCCCCAAAACAAACAAAATAAAGTTTTTAAATGTTTAATGCAATAAAAGTGTGCACTGAGATGTGACTAAGGGGTCAAGAGACTTAGGAAGCCTGGAAGACTTGAAAAAGCAAACAAACACTTGGAAATAAAAGTGGCTGCTCACATCAGAGCTCCAACAGATTCCCATGGCAGTCTAAGTTGCCCAGACCCACAGACATGCCTGAAGGGACCTAGGTGGGGCCAAGGCCTGAGGAGCCTTCTTGTTCCTGGGGAAACCCTCCCAGGGAGCTCTGCACCCATAGGAAGGTGAAGCTGAGCCTTTCTGGTGTGGCCAGGACAAGATGCCAGGGACTCAAGACACACCGCCACCTGAAGATGAGACAGGGCTGCCCCCACTTGGGTCCTCACCAGATGTCCAGGATGAGGAGCGTGGCCACAATGGCATAGACACCGTCACTGAAGGCTTCCACCCGTTCCTTACTGAGGGGCTCATGCAGGTCGAAGCTGAAGACCTCTGCATTGTGGGCCGGGGGGTCCCTGTGACCTGCAGGCATAGGAGGGAGGAGCTGGCTCAGTCCATGGGCTGTGGGGCCAGTGTGGCTATCCCTGCCCACTTCCCTTAGGGACTGGGAATGTATAGCCCAGGAGAGGAGCTGGTGTGGAGCTGCTGAGGGGTGGGAGGGTCACCACATGTGTGTGCCTTGCCCCAACATGGCAGTCTTCATGAATAGCCCGACCCCTGTGGTGCCTCCCTTGGCCTCAGTGCAGGACTGCCACTGACACCTACCCACAAGCCTGTCTTTGCACCAACTGGTGGCCTTGCTGATGTAGGGCAGGAAGATGACGGTCACCATCAGCAGGTATGACTGTGGGGACACGACAGTCAGGGCCTGCCTCCCCAGGGCAGGGCCATATACCTCCTGGAGCCCAGCCACCCAGGAGTTCTACCATCCTTGAAAAATCATGTGTAACAAGGAAAAATCCAAGGAACTGTCCTTTATGGAGATGAAGTAAAGGATAGCCATGGAAGGTAGAAAGCGCCCAGCAGCCATACACCTGCCAAGAGTTGTGTCCAGAACACACAAAGAACTGCTACAACACAACAGAAGACAAGCGCTCAGCTGTGAGAGGGGCAGAAGCAACATGCACACACCAGTAAGCCAGAGAGCCTCAAGGCCACTGTTCTCAGGAAACATGCCCAGCGGCTCCAGGGGGAGAAGGGGACTGCGCAGTACAGCAGGGCCCCTTCTGGGCATGTGCACAGAATTGAGAGCAGAGGCTGGAAGAGGCTGTGCTCAAGGCAGCACCATCCACGACAGCCAAGAGTGGGACATCCCAAGGGGCCATAGTGAGCAACCTCAGGCTCAGCCCCTCAGTATACTATTTTTGGATAACAAGAAGGAATTCTGATCAGAATGCAGCAAGGAGAGATCCAGAAACCTCATGTAGTCTCCTGTTCCGCCAATGCCTATGCCCTGCCTTCATGAGACATTCATGCCACATGGACCACCCTGGGTGTACCCCTAGAAGGGGACTGTCCCACCTCTGAAGCTAAGACTCACCTCCAACTGCTGCCCCTCACTCCTGTCTTGCTGCCTACCCCTGGCTTCCCCACTCAAGACCATTGCCCCTCCTCCCTCCTGTTTCATGAAAGGGACCAAGTCATACGGCCGGCCACAGGCCCAGGGCCTCACACCGTAATGCTCACCTTTCTTCTTTGCTTCCTCACCTGAGGCCCCACCAAGGCCTACCTGCCTGGTGCTCTCCAGATGATTCTGCTCTGCCTTGGCCAGAGGGCTGGACCCTGCTTGGCTGCTGCCACAGGCCCTTACCAGCCTATTTACTTTTTAACCCAGAATTGAATGAAAGGGGCTCTACCACTAAGTCACATCCTCAGGACTTTTTATTTTTTGAGACAGGATCTTATAAGTTGCTGAGGCAGGCCAGAATTTGTAAGTCTTCTTCCTCAGCCTCCTGAGTCTCTATTATAGGCATGCACCACCAAGTTCACCTTAGCCTGTTTTAAACTTGGAATCCTCTTGAATGCTTATTAAATGTTTATGAAAATGTCAGTTATTTTGTTCATAATTCTTAGGATAATTTGGATTAAAAACTCCATGTACTTCAACAACGCTCAAGCAGACCCGGAGCCACAGTGAGCTTCCTAGGTCAACTCTGGAGCAGCTTGTTCTGCAGCTCTTGGTCCTGTGTGAACAGCACACTGCCAGACCACCACTCTTACTCCTGTTAGAATTAGCTGCTGGCTGAAAAAAAGCATCTCAGTGCCCCGGCTGTGCCCTCCCTGGGGTGCCCCAACACTCACCACAGGGAAGAAGAAGAGGGAGAAGATGGCCGCAAGAAAGCACAGCACTGGACCACGGAGGACAAGGTGCAGGATGTGCCTTCGGGACAGGGCCCTGTGGGCGGAGCACCGGATCTGCGGGCTCAGCAGGTGTGGGAAGTGGAAAGCATACCCCACAATCAGTGCCTGTGGGAGAGGCAGGCCACAGGGCACCCTCTATGAGCAGAGGGGCATGGCCAGGCAAGCTGGCTTCTTGCAGGGGCTCGGGGGAGGGCACCTAAGGCAGGCTCGCACTGGAGTGCTCTAGGGAAACACCAGGGATGGGAGTCCTGGCCCTGCACCTGATGCAACTGTGAGGCCCTTCTTAGGCTCAGCAAGGACAGGGGTCTCAGGCATGCACACCCCAAGTATCCACGGCAGGACCTGAGCTCCTGGGGACATGGGGTCAGGATACTGGCGCCTCGCCTGCTTGCCCCCATGACCATCTCTTTGTCTCTTTCACATACATCCCTGCAGGCTCCTGATGCATTACCTGCACAACTCCAATGGCGATCACACACACACAAAACAGGAAGATGCCCAGTGGCACATCAGGGAACGTCACCATTAAGGAAAACTGTCCAAAACAAGGAGTAATGCAGAAGTTCATTAGTCTAGGAGCTGGGACACAATGAGCCTCCTGGTCTCCCTGCTCTGTGCTGAGGAGGACTATCATGGGAGGAGACATATAGGGTGTGGCAGATCTGTCCGCAGCCCCCACGGGAGCAATTCCATCCACTGCTACAGGCCTTTGAAGTCCCCCAGATCCCAATTCTCTGGCCCAGCACATACAGACCAGCAGGCCAGGTCAGCACTGAGTATGAGAGCTTTTTGGGTCTGTGGAGACTCTGAGTGGAGGAAGGCCACGACAGAGTGGGGGCCCTGCCTTCAGAGCCCCAGGCCCCCAGCCAGACTCCCCCTGGAAGTTCTCTCCTCTATGCAGCCCCCAAGGCCCAGAATCATCTGCTGGTCTGCATTTCCAAGGACAGTCAAACCCAGGTGGAGCTCAGCACGTCTTGGGCATGTCTGGGGAGCAGGCTGTTACTTACTGTGTATGGCAGAAGGGTGATGGTCATCATGCAGGCCTGGAGAGGAGGGAGGGAGGTCACATCGATGCAGCCTGGATGGTGCAAGCTGCCCCCTCATCACTCCAGAAGGGGCCAGCTTAGGCCTCTCCCAAGACAGGACGGTGGGCCAGCAAGTGTCAGACCTGAGAAGCCTGTGCCTTCCTGGCTCATCTCAGCCCTCTCCACAGGCAGGCCTAGCACCCCCAGCTCTATGTGGGCTGGGGAAGGGTGCAGCCCCCTGTGGTGCAAGGGATGTCCAAGGAGCTTCCAGGTGTGGACAGAGTTCAGGTTCCGAGGTACCAGAGGATAAGAGAGAAGCAGCCAGCTATACACTCTCAGTCCTCTTGGGAGGGTTAAATTATAAACCAAAATCATTTCCCAAAAGGATAAAAAAACACCACCACCAACAACAAAAAAAACCCAAAAAAACTCACCAGGTTGAGCAAGGCAAGTGTATCGTCTATTTTCCCAACAACCTGGAATAATCTACAAAGAACAGGAGAAGATGGGGCACTCATCAAATGTGGTTCCAATAAAATTACACACACACACATTTGCTCCGGTATTTTCTAGTTTAAATATCATTAAAAGATGATTTTGGGGGTGGGAAGGTAACCAGGGGTTGAACCCAGAGATGTTTAACCACTGAACTACATCCTCAGTCTTATTTAATTTTTAAGACAGGGTCTCACCAAATTTCCCAGGTTGGCCTTGAACTCACAATCCTCCTGCCTCAGGCTCCTGAGTTGCTGGGATTATAGGCATGTGCCACCACACCCAGCTAAAAGATGTCATTTAGGATTAAATGTAAAATCCTACCCAGTGTATGAAAGAAAATTCAAAATCATAAATTCCCTGGAAATCACCCTCTTCATTCTCACATATTCTTCCTGTTGTTTTGCTATTTAAAGCATATTGCTTTGAAGAGTAAGAGCCAAATGTGTACAATGGGTGGCTCTGGAGGAGTCTTTTCCGAGTGTGTCTTTGCATCAGGCTCATCCTGTGGAACCTGGGATCTGGAGGGCTAGGGGGGCTCTTGGGTTGGGTTTCAGGGGAGGCCTTGCTGGGAGGGGAGCCTCTGAATGTGACCTGCCTGTTCGAGGTGCAAGAGGCACATGTGGCTTGCCCCAGCTGAAGCTCTCTTGAAATGTTGTGCAGCTTCTGCCAGAAGGCTGAAAAACCGGCTCTGGATATGTGTCCATAAAGTTCCATCATGCAGTGAATTCACTCTTCAGGCCTTGTGCACAAAATCCATTTCGAAGAGAGGAAATCCTTCTTTCCCATTGTTTTCAGGGGTTTCAAACCCTAAACCTGTGGAGCTGCCTATTTAATAGAGAAATTGCTTTGTCCTGAGACTATTTGACACAAACAAAAAAATTAATCCCAGCGGCTTGGGAGATTGAGGCAGGAGGATCACGAGTTCAAAGCCAGCCTCAGCAAAAGTGTGGGGCTAAGCAACTCAGTGAGACCTTGTCTCTAAATAAAAATCAAAATAGGGCTGGGGGTGTGGCTCAGTGGGTAGGTCTCCTTGAGTTCAATCCCCGGTACCAAAACACCAACAACAAAAAAGACAGCTTTCATCACAGGCAACATGAGTGAGCACAATTGGCCAAGGGTCTTGTTTCTGAGGCCCCAGCCCACCTGGTCCATGCCCCAGGTTTCCCTGTCAGAGCTTGACGCCAGCTTAGGGTACCCAAGTACCATGTCCCCTGTCCACTGTGAACCATGCCTTCTCCTGGGCTGGGCAGCGAGCCTAGGGACAGGGACACAGGGCCAACCTGGTGCTGCAGCATTTGCTGAAAAGCTAAATAGCAAGGACTATGGCCCCCTTGAGTTGGGAAGCTCTTCTGGTGACCTGCTGAGCACTGCAACCAGGTGTGCAGAAGACCATGCTCAGGCAGATGCACACAGCAGATCTGGAAGCCCCTCATGGGGCCCCTGAACCCCACTCAGGAAATGTCCTCCATAGTGGGTACAGCCCCTGGCAGAGCTCACAGCCCACATATTTTGCAACATCCCCTGAGAGCCTCCTGAGCACTCGGTACACCAGGGAGGCTGAGGAGAAGAGACCTCCCACCCCTGGAGCTTGGACTCCGAGGTCCATGCTACATCTCCCAAAGTGGTTGTCTACTGAGGGCAGTATACAACAAACAACGCCAGAGGTATCTGGCCCAGTGCCAACACCTGATGGAATGGGTGCATTTTCCTGCACCCCAGCCTTCCTGGCAAGTGCTTCCCTTCCATAGGCTGGTCTGTAACCTAGGATGGAAGCATCTACTTCCAGCTCCACCTCTGGGTGCCTCCTGTCCCTGCTCCCCTGCCAGTGGTTGGGGGCCCTGTAGGTTGGGCAGTAACCCCTGGATCAGGGCCTTTTCCTCCCCAAGATAAAGCTCAGGCCCTGGAGAACTACCTGTGGGCTTGGAACAGGGGCTGGAGGGGTTGGCAGCTTGCTCCCTCCTGCCAGGCTCCATCCTGGTTCTGGGGTCGAGCAGGACACCTTGGGTACCCACACCCAGTGTCTGGACTACCAGTGGGCAGTGCTATATGTTTGCGGAAATAGACTTGCCTTGGAGCATGTGTGTGGGAACCCAGGCAGGAGGCTCAGAGAAAGAACTGGGGATGATGGAGAAAGGGGTGACCTATCCACCCCGGCACTCTCACCCATGATGATGTGAGGGGCCCACATATACCTTGAGAATGGTGTGGCTCACTGCCTAAGTGAGTCAAAAGGTGACCTGACCTCAAAGAAGCCCGGTCCCTACCTGGTGTGTGCGGCCCAGGCCACAGTCACAATTAGAAATGTCATCAGGTAGACAGCAATCCTGGTTGCTAGAAGTCTCTGTATACTTTTGTCAAATTGCTAGAACAAAAGAGCACTGCCATTAGGGACAGTCATAGGTAACCCAGGTAGCCTTCGACGCATGGGCATGGCCTCACTGGAGTGCGGTGAGACCTCTTGGAGCACCCAGGCTCTGCCTGCTGGGGGCCACACCCCCTCCCATGACCCTCCACTCCCCTTAGGGTGAGCCTCCAGCTGTCATGCTGGGGTTTAGAAAGCCCACAATACAGGCCTCATGGTTCACAGTTGCAGGAGTGCCTTGGACAGCGGGCTCCCCATCTCATGGTGGAAAGGTAGGGGGCAAAGGGCCCGATGAGCCCTGCAGCCCTTTCACAAGGTCACTGATGACCTCTCAAAGGCTGTCAGTGTTGGCTCAAGACCCTGGCAGGCGCAGGTTGCCCACTGTCTCCTGGGCTCTGGGTATCATCTCCGAAGGTACCCTTCCCTGAGTGCACTGTGCTTCTGAATCGCAGTGTTCAAAGTTGACGGTCTTCATGATAACACATGAGCAGTCCAGGAAGCCCAGTGTCAGGGAGGATCGCTGGTCCAGCACCTTTCTCTCCTTCCCAGAGTGTTCCTGCCTGCACCCGTGGACTCTTAGGAGCTTTCTGAGACCCAGCGAGGAAACAGAAAGACTCAGCATCAAGAAGTCCCAGTTTCCATGCAGAGAACACAAGTGGCCCAGCGGCGGTGGGGTCAGAGTGGGCCTGAACAGCTGAGTTTTCTTGCTGCTTGGGAAGCTGCCCCTGTGGTCTCACAGGATGCTGATCTGGGCCTCTCGTGAAGGAAACACCTCAGCACATACTGGCTGGAGCCAAACCATGGGCTTCCCATAGTAGGCCCCAGAACTACCACTGACCCTGTGGGGCATGGCTTTTCTGAACAGCTGCTGGTGGGCACTTTCCACTGGGACTGCCAGGCACCTGGTGCAATCAATGCTAGGATCTCCTCCAGAGAGCTGTGTCAGGCTGGATGCACATTTCTACTACAACTCTATGGAAAGGGCTTCATCATTTCTTCACAGTGCAAAAACCAAATCCAAGTAGCTGTGGGGCTTCCCAGGTCATCCAGTTCAGCCTGTAGGCGGCTGGACGTCAGCCTTGCTGGGCCAGCACATCCCTCTGCGCCTCACAGCACCCCAAACAAGTCTGGCATTGTGACCACCCTGTCACACGGGCAGATAGGAGACAAGGTGCATGCATGCTCCCACAGGCCTTCCAAATGTCTTCCAAACTGTTCTGCTGTGATCAGTCACATGTTGCTCTCTTTAGTCAGGAATAGTCCAGTAAAGCTGGCTCTAACCGGAAAAGCTTTTACACCCTTTCCCCACTCACCCCCAGATGGGCCTGGTGCACATGCCAGGTGGATGTGCCTCTGCTGAGGCAGCCTGATCTCTGGATCTGGGGAGCTCCCTCCCACCAGGACACTTCCTTCTCCATTCAGGCTGAGACAGGTCTTCACTGCAGAAGCCTGGGCCCAACCCCAACCGCCCCAACTTATGCAGACAGTGACCCTACCAGGAGGAAGCAGGTGCCCACCCTGTTGCCCAACGCCCCCAGACCAAGTGGGTTGTCCCCCTGCACTACACAGCATGCTCCTGGTACCTGCTCTGGGGAGATCTCCGTGTGGGTCACAGGAAGGATCTGAAGAACAAAGACAAAAAGAAACCAGATGTTTCTTGGGCTGGCAGCAGGGCCAGGGATGGGTGCCTCCACCTGCCTGAAGTGGCTCCACACTTACCATGACTGTGGCGATGATGGACAGTAGTGCGTCACTGAAACCCAGCATGCGGTGGGAGCTCTGGGTCCCTTCCCTGATGTCCTCATCCTTCCTGCATAGGGATGAGTCACCCTGGGCATCCAGTGTGTGTTCAGGAGTCTGGGGCCCAGACATGATGGGGCCACTGCCCAGTGGCCACAAAAGCCTAGAAGGAAGCACAGCTCTGAGCATGCCAGTGGGTTGCTCCCAGGGGCTGCCTTACAGGCTTTAGCCAGGGGGCACAGGAATAGAAGCTGGGTGTGGAGAGTGGGGAAGACCCTCCAGGCTAAGCTTCAGCCTGAGACTCCATCACTAAGCTTAAGCTTGGTGACTGGGGTGAGGGACATGCTGTGCCTGCTTCCCCTAGAGGAGCAGGCAGGAAGGGAAGGCCCACACAACACAGGTGGGTGCTTAGCACCCTCATCACCAGGGAAGGGCCTAGAATGCCTGAACCCAACAGCAGACTCTATCCTATGAGCTGTTTTGGTCCTAAACAAGAAAAAGGAGTGGGTGCCCTTGGGGCCCGAGATCACAGCATCAGGACCAATGTGCACACCCAACAAATGCCCCCATGGCACACCGCCTTGGTTCAGAGCTCCCAGGACACTGTCAACGTCAGGAGTAGGCTCTGGAAGACAAGGGTGACTCCAGACAGAGTGTGCTCATATCCTGGAGCACAGCTGGTGGGCGTCTGGGCAGCACAGCGCTGAGCCCTGTGGACTCCACACTGGACCCAGGGCCCCCACCACAGCTGGGTGACAGGGGATGGGAATGTGGCAAGGAGGCTGAAGCTGGGATTCAGGGAGAGGAGTAGGTCTGGCAACAGCCAGGGGCCAAAATGTGCCTGGAGATCAGTTCCTCAGAGAGAGGGAGGCTGATGCCCAAGGTCCTGGAGAAAGAGCCAACCCCGCCCAGGAACTACCCAGATCCAGAGGGTGGAGAAGATCAATGTTGATGAAGGATGAAGGGTTTGCTTCAGGGCCCATTTTCTAAGGCACAGAAAAAAAAAATAAGTAAAATTAAAAAATAGAAAGGGCTGAGGATATAGCTCAGTGGTAGAGTACCCCTACCTTCAACTCCCAGTACCTCCCAAAGCCCAGCAGAGGATGCTGCTCACCTTGGCCAGAGCATCAGTAGACAGACTGCCAAAGACAAGAGGTAAGGGGAACCACCACATGCTGCTCAAACAAGGAAACTGACACCAGACACAATCAGAAGCCCACCCCAAGATGAACAAAGGAGGCTGACTGGCAGTTTCCAGTGAGGAAACCAAACTGGATAAACATGTAGTCAGGGCTGGGTGGAGCTTAGTGTTAGAGGGCCTGCCTGGCAGCCAGAAAGTGGTAAGCTGTCAGTCAGAAGAGCTAGTGAGGTTGTAGGAGACATCTGGCATCCTGGGGACATTAGCAGAGCCACAGCCCTCAGCTGAAGAAGCATGCCTGCAGGGGAGCTCAGTTTCCAGAGAGGCCTGAGGTCCACACCAAGCAAGCCTCCGTTAACAATATATGTGAAACACAGGCCAGGGTGTCACTCATGGTGGGGCACTTGTCTAGCACGTGAGGCCCTGGGTTCCATCCCCAGCACTGAGGGAAAAAAAGTAAACACAATTAATTATTAAGCCATTAAACAAAGTATGAGCAAGTAGGCAGATCTAGAGACACAGAACTAAAAACATCAGCTGCAAGTGCAGACAGCAGGGGCTGGGGTTGTAGCTCAGCAGCAGAGCGTTCACCTAGCACTTATGAGGCACTGGGTTCAATCCTTGACACCACATAAAACTAAATAAATAAAAATAAAGGTATTGTGTCCAACTACAATTAAAAAGATGCAGACAGCATTACGCAGTGACCTTCTGACGAGGGTGTCAACATGTAAGGCAGAACCCTCAGGAACACATGGACTGCGGTGCCAGGACAGAAGGAGAGCGGGAGGCGGCTCTGGACCACCTCCCCTTCAGTCCTATCCAACGTATGGTCCAAGCCTCTCTTCTGGGATGCAGTTCTGAGCTTCTGAGAAATGGACGTGGGTAAGTGACCAGTCCCAATTGGAACCCTGGTCCCCGCTCCCAGTCCTCATGGAACTCTCCCACACGGCAAGCTTGGCAGCTCTGTCACTGCAGCTTTGCCTTTCCCAAATGCCGTGGCACATGGCTGTGGGAGGCACTGAGCTCTTTTCCTGCTGTGTCATAACTACTTACTCTGTGTGGACCGACTGTTCATGTGCTCAGTGACCGAGCACTATGGACTCCACACAGTGGAGTTGCTCCCAGTTGTGGCCTAAAGATGTAGCCCAATGGCATGGGGTTCAGAAGTAAATATTATGGTCAAACCAATCTCATTTTTTTTTTTTTTTGTACCAGAGATTGAACTTAGGGGTGCTTAACACTGAGCCCCCTCTCTAGCCCTCTTTTTGTTTTACTTAGAGGCAGGGTCTTGCTAAGTTGCTTAGGGCTTCACTAAGTTGCGAGGCTGACTTTGAACCTGTGGTCCTCCTGCCTCAGCCTCCCGAGCCACAGGATTATAGGTGCTTGCCACCAAGCCTATCCAAGCTCACTTTTGAAGAGGTTGCCACAACCGTTCAATTTTAAACCTCTGTGCACCACAGGACAAAATTAATAAAAACAATTCCCAGAATGGGAGAAAACATTTGCAAACCACTATCTGAGCAAGGTATAATATCTAAAATATTTAAAGAACTGTTACAATTAGACCCCGATGAGACAGCAACCCTCCAGGCTGGCAATGAAACAAAACAAGGAAGTGTTGGCAAAGACAGAGGAAACTGGAACCTGCGCCCTGCTGGTAGAGCACAAAGTGGTGCAGCTGCCTGGCTCACAAAACCAAGAACAGCCCACCACCAGGTCCGGCAACTCCTTCTCTGGTACACATCCAAGAGTCAAAAGCAGGGACTTACAGAGCTGCCCATGCACCCAAGCTCATCCCAGGGCTGTTCACAATAGCCCAGAGTCAGAAGGCACCGGAGCCTCCATCTTGGTTTCTGAATGGAGCATCACAAAGTCCTGACACATGCTATCACATGGAAGGACTGGGACGACACTCCAATGTGGAACGAGCCAGTTGCACAAGACAAATACTGTATGGATCCACTTGCATGGGACACCCCAGAGCAGTCAAACCCATAGGAACAGGAAGTAAAGCAGTGGGCACCAGGGGCTCAGTGGAATGGGTGAGTTGGTGCATAACAGGGAGTTTCGGCTTTGCAAGAGGAAAAGCCTGGCGATGGGTGGAGAAGCTGCACGGAGGAGTGGAGGAGTGAAGGGGTTCCTGTCTCTGGGTTGTGTGCTTACAAGTGGTTAAAACAGTTTTATGAACTGCACCAGTTAAAAAAAACACAACCTAATGCCTAGTCTTTAAGTGCTCAAACCATGTCATCTACACATTTGCATGCAAGTTTTTATGACACATGCCAATGAAGAAAAGACAGGACTAGAGATACAGATGCCGCAGTGGGAAAGCAAGAGGTTTCTTGCAGAGACTGTCAGGAGTCCTCAGTATGGGAGATGCTAGAGCTGAGTGTGGAGACACTTCCAACAAGGGACATAAGAACAGTAAGAGGCCTTTATTAAGCATATCTTAAACATCAAGCATTGTCCCAAGTAGTTCATACTTGACGTCTCTTTTAATCCTTAAATATCACTGTGAGAATTAATGAAAAGCCAGAAAGAACTATCTCTGTGTAACAGGGAGAGCCTGGCATGCAGCAAATTGCAAGGAGTCTGAGAAGGCCGCCTCATGAGGCTCAAACTGGGAAGTGTACCTGAAGAAACCAGGACTACACCAGAGCCTTGTGTACCCAATCCCAAGACTGGACAGAAGACAAATAGACTACCCTGAAGACATATAGAACTCACTTTCCTCTATAGGTATTTCATATACAAGTCTATTACCACATAGGCAATTTGCAAATATTTTCTCCAAGTCTGAGCTGTCTTTTAATTTCAACAGTGTATTTTTAAAAAATAGTCAGACACCAATTTATATTATTGTAGGGACATTTTATAAATGTTTATATTAATTAGCTCAAGCTGCTTGGTAGTTCAAGTCTACAGTATCATTAGTGATTTTCTGGGTACCTGTCATTTATTTCTATTTACTTTTTTAAATGTTTATTCTTAAGATTTAGATGGACACAGTATCCTTATTTTACATTTATGTGGTGGTGAGGCTCGAACCCAGTGCCTCATGCATGCTAGGTGAGCACGCTACCACTGAGCTACAGCCCCAGCCCCTCTTGTCATTTATTGAGGAAAAAATACTCTCCAACTACATCAACCTCCCACTACAATTGTGATTGGCCTCTCTTCTTGTAGTTCTGAGTTTTTAGTTCAGATATTTTAGAGCTTTGCTATTAGGCACATATATGTTTAGGATTGTTACATCTTTTTAGTGAATTCACCCCTTGATCATCACAAAACAATTCTCTTACTTGTGGTGATATCTTTTGCTATAATTGGGGGATCAAGACCATGGACTTAGTTTTAGACATGTATGTGAAGTGAGATAGCTACAAGTGAACACCCACTGTCAAATTCAGAAAAATGTGGAGGCAGATTTGGGTCAAGACAGTGTTAGCATGGCATCTACTGCAATGCCAAGAAGTGTGGCTTTATAAATACTTACGAAAGGGCTGGGGCTGTAGCTCAGTGGTAGAGTGCTTGCCTAGCATGTATGAGGCACTGGGTTTGATCCTCAGCACCACATAAAAATACACAAATAAAATAAAGGCATTCTGTCCATCTACAACTACAAAAAGAAAATTAAAAATAAATAAATAAATACTTACGAGAGAGTTGCAATAGATTTTCGTTTCCTGATTACCTGATTTATTTATTTGTCAGTCCTGGGATTGAACCCAGCGTTGTACCACCACTGAGCTACATTCCCAGCCCTTTTTATTTTGAGACAGTGTCTCAAAAAACAAAAAACCAGACAAGTTACTGATGTCTCAAACTTGTGATCCCTCTGCTTCAGTCTCCCAGGTTGCTGGGATTACAGGCATTTACCAGTATGCTCAGCAATTACCTGATTTAGATACCTCTACTTGGTCCTAGGTCTTGCCTGTTTGAGTACTTGGCCTCAAACTCTGCCACACTCTCTAGTGAGTTATTCCTGGGGTGTCACCACAATGGCTTTTAGGTCTCGTCCACGTTGCTTAAGCCCTAAGATTCCAGTCTCTCTTTACCTCCCATAGATGATTTCTATTCCTTGTTTACAAATCAAAGGGAAGCTACCAGAAAATTCCTTCAGCAGCATCATGCTAATAAAACACACAGTTGCCTACAAGTGCAAGCCACTTTTCCTCCTTTTGCAGAGTTCTTCACATGGAGAGTGCTTTTCCTATGTCCAAAACAAATACTCTCACCCATGCCACGGAGTCACTGACTTTCCTCCATTAGTCCCCTCTTCTCTCTGCTGGCTCCCTTCTCCCGGCTTCAGGCTGTTCATTTAGTCTCCCGTCTTGGGACCCCAACACCACACTGCCCTTCTAGTCCCACACTCTTCCTCACAACTTCCTGAGCTACCTCCACGAACCTTCCCTACCTCATCGGCTTTTTTCCTGGGCATCTAGGGGAGGCGCAGCTCCCGCCCACCACTCGGATGGCACTGCTCTCGGGGAGGTCGCCCGAGACCCGCTGTTGCTGGGTCCCACGTGCACCCTTCATCCCCTGTTCTACTTAGACAGCAGTCGGTCTCAAAGGCACTCTTTACAGACTGCACTCCGGGTGCGGGTTACGGCGCCGATTCAGGGCCCTCTTCTGCCAGTGAGAACCGCTCTCTACGCACGGCCGCGGCTCGCAGGGCCTGGGCCGGCCCGGCGGGCGCACGCCGCGTCGTACCTGAAGGCGGCAGCTCCAGGGGCTGCGAAAACGCGGGACTGCGGCCCGACGCCGCCAGGTCAGGCTTTCCCACGCAAGCTGGGAAACCGCGTCCTTGAGCTCAGTCTCTCAACGGTAGCCACTAACTCATATTTCCCCCCAAACCGTGCGGCCCAAGGAAAGGAACGCGCGTGTGCGGCCGCCGGCTCCGTCCTCTCGAGGGCGGCACCGGGACCTTCCGCTGGCCCGGCCTTCCCTGGGAGGCGCAGTCCGGCGGAGCGGCCGCCCAACTCGCGCCCAACGCCCGCGCCGTTCCGCCCCGCCACTGAGACAAGGCCTCGCGGAGGGACCGGCTGCCTGGCCTGCGGGGCGCGCGGCAGGTGACGACCTGGGCTGGGCCGCCGTGGCCCTCCTTCTCTCAGGTGTGAGCTGCCCGCGAGCCCCGCCGGAAGTCTGTCGCGGGCCCACGCCTAGAGCTTGTGCGCCCGCCGGCGCGACGGAAGTGAAGCACGCGTCCTTCCGGCCCTCCGCGAAGGGTCGGGGGCGTGGCTCCATGGCTCGACGTGCTTGCGCACTGACGTCACGGCGCGGGCGGAAGATGGCGGGGCTGTGCTTCGGCGGCCGCTGACCAGGCGGAGTGCAGCCTGAGCCCCAGCCCGGCTCCCGCTGCCGCTGAGCGGCTGCCGCCATGTCGCTGCTGCAGTCCGCGCTCGACTTCCTGGCGGGCCCGGGCTCCCTGGGCGGAGCTGCCGGCCGCGACCAGAGCGACTTCGTGGGGCAGACGGTGGAGCTGGGCGAGCTGCGCCTGCGGGTGCGGCGGGTCCTGGCCGAGGGTGAGGCCCGAGCTGGGTGCTGGGGTAGTCACGCTGCCGGGGACAGGGTCAGCGGGAGGGTCACCATTGGGGACGTGGGTCAGGACAGTCCGGGAGGGTCACCACTGGGGGTGTGAGTCTGGGCAGGGCTGGAGGGTCACCACTGGGGGTGTGAGTCTGGGCAGGGCTGGAGGGTCACCACTGAGGGCGTGGGTCAGGCCAGGCCTGGAGAGTCACTGCTGGGGGCGTAGGTCAGGCCAGGTCTGGGGTGGTCACCCCTGGGGGCGTGGATCAGGGCAAGGCTGGAGGGTCACCACTGAGATCGTGGGTCAGGTCAGGCCTTGGGGTTACCACTGAGCGCGTGGGTAAGGGCAGGCCTGGAGGGTCACTGCTGGGGGGTCTGGGTCCCAACTTCTTTGTTGAGGGGTAGACTCAGGCTAGGGTCAGGCTGGAGGATAATAGATATGGAGGAACCTCCTATATTTGGGACTGAAGCTCTAACAGTTGTTGGGGAGGGAGAGGAGGACCCTACACACTAGAGTCAGGAGGTGAGCAGCATTACTGGGGGGCATAAGCCATAGCTGTTTGCATCACACCAGGACTGCTATGTATTGGGGACTGGTTTTCCTGAGTTCCCAGAAGTTCCTCTGGTTGCACACAGCATTTAAGCAGTGGCAGTCCTGTCCTATTTGGGGAGGGCAGACAGTGCCTGATACCCTAGTCTGTTTCTCTCTTGAAGTCAGTGTGTCTCACCCTTGAACATCTTTTGTGGTGCCTGTGTAAGTCACAGGAAGCAGAGCTATTATCCATGGACTATATAGGACTTTGCTGGATGGATATGGCCATCATTTATGTCTTGAAGTCATCTATTGTTGGTTTTATTTGTAGCTTTCTGAATGTCCTCTTCCTTCCTCACACAGGATTGGAATCTCTCTTCTGGGTCTTCCTTACTTTTTATCCAGTGGTGTCCAGGGACGCATAAGTTCTCACCAGCTTTGAAATTCATGGGCTAAACACAGTCGTGTTCTGTTGCATTGATTTGAGGCGGGAGGAGTGGGCCCTGACCAAGTCTGAACTCTCAGGGTTGGAGGGTCGACCTTCTGAGCCCTTTGGGGTCATTTGTGCTCTATTGGGGGCTGAGAACTGGCCGAGTATTTGGATGTTTTCATTCTAGAAGGCCTGAGGGGATTTTCTGGTTGTAGCACCATCACATGCTTTTCCCCAGCATGTCCGTAAACAGATTTTTGGGTGTGATTTAGGGAGAAACTTCTGATGCTTCTTTTAGAGATGGGGGCAGTGCCCCCACTAAAGTTCTGAAGTGTGATGTTCCCTTATATCTGTTACAGTAACAAAAGCTTGCTCAATTTAGTTTATTTACTGTAAAAATGTCAGGCAGTTATCTTCATTTTTCAGGAAATTCATACTGGACAGGACCTGGTTTAGGCCCTGTAGAATGTGAAATGAGATGCATGCTCAAATGGCTAAAGAACAAGGCCATATGGAGCAGGCAGTACAGCATTGAAGTTGTACATGCAGCTGGGGAGACCTCTGGAAAGGGATTGGCAGAAGCCTGGGCTAGGGGTGACCTGGGCTAGGAGGGCATTTGAGATGGAAGTGGTCCTGGTTGGTAAGAGAAGGAGGTTCATGCAAAGCAGGAAGTTTATGTAGGTCACAAAGCACCCAGGATAAAGAACCAGGAAGTGTGGGTAGCCACTGTGGCTGTGTAGACAGCTGGTTTCCCTTTGCTCTCTGGGCAGCTGAGAGATAAAAATAAGCAGAGCAGCTATCAGTCATAGATTTCTTCCTTTTGGATTCACTGGGTTGTTTGAAGCTTCTTTCTGAACTGAAACAGGGAAAAATCTTTAGTATTTTATGTAGATGTATTTAAATAAGTTTCTTGGACAGTAACCAGACACCATAGGCTGCTAGGATTCAGGCTCTATGAATATGAGGAAGGTCCACCATTGGAGACCCTTGAGTTTGCAACTTCAAAAGTTTGCAATTTCAAAAGTCTTTTGGAAAGATAATATGGTGTATGGCCTGTATTTCATGAGATATTCCTAAAGGAGCAGGAAAAGTATTCTGTAGTTAAATACCTTGATATTTTTATAGTTAAATGAAGAAATATTCTCAATATGGGTTAAAGTCTGTAAGTGGCTCTGTCCATTCATGTCAGGTTTTGTCCCATATGAGTTTATGATAGACCATGTTTTGCTGTCACTCAGTTTTCATAGCTTTTATACATTTGGACCTGGCGTGTGAAAGGGTTCTTGGACAGAACTATGGAGCCAGATAGTTTTCTAATCTTTTCAAATTTTATTCTTATTCTTCATTTTTAAAAAAATAAGACGATTACTGGGAGTATCAGCCATGCTAGAGGTGCCCAGTCCGAGCATGTGCTAGGTGCTCTCTTTGTGTTCACACTCTGTGTGCTGCTGCTGCTTCTGAAGCTGGTCACTGGTTCGGAGGCAAGGTCGCACTGCGGGGCCGACTCCGGCTCTCTGTGCACATGTGGCTAGTGAAGTGGATTGAGGTAGAAAATGAAAGCCATGCCACATGGCTGTCATGGATTTAAGTGTCACTAGCTCTTGTGTTGGTTTAGATATGACATGCAGTTCCCATCAGTCACAGGATCTGTGTTTCCTGCTCCAGAGCCTGTGTTCTCTTGGGGCTGTGCTCTGGCCTGAGGCACAGGAGGGCACATCCCACCGAGCTCCCAGGGCCTCTTGGTTGCAGGCCTAGCTCCCTACCCATCTGCCTCCCAGACACCACTTTTGGAGGGCCCTCCCTTTACTGCTATAGAACGTTCTGAACTGGGTGAGGCAGAGGGAGTATTTAGTATTGCCTGACAATTGCAGAGTTGCCACAGCAGGACTCTGGGCTCCTGCTTTCAGGGCCCATGGAGGCAGGATTGATGGAGGAGAGCTCTTCTGGCCACAGGGTGTGCTAGTGAGGTTTTTAGGAGCAGAGTCCTAGATGGGCACTTGCTGTGTCATAGCACATAGTTCCCGCTCCCCAGAGTGCCTGAAGCCCTGATGATGAAGGTCTTCCCATGTTTTTTCTCCAGTTTTATTATAGTTTTGCAGTTATGCACTGTGTCCATGGTTAGGGCCATCTAGTTGATGTATGTTTAATTATTTAAGATGTTGCCAAAATGTTCTCCAAAGTAGTTGTAAGCATTTGGCATTTCCCCAAACATGTGTAGCTTTCCAGGTGCTTCACATCCTAAACAACACTCGATGTGGTGTTTAAAATTGTACACGTCTGACAGGTGTTTAGAAGACTCTTGTGGTTTAAATCTGCATCTCCTGGATGGATAGTGACGGTACTCCTTGTCCTGTGTTTTCCTGCCCCTGTCTTATTTTTGCTGATGTGCCTGTTTATGTCTTTTGCTCATGAAAATTTCTCTTTAATGAATTTTGGATTTTTTTTTTTTTTTTGTATTTTCTGAATAGAAGTCCTCTACCAGATACATGATTTGCAAGACCTGAATAGAGGGCCTTGCATGCACAAGGGTTCATTCCCCAGCACCACCATCATCAAAAAAAAAAGACCTGATTAGAGTCTTATTTTTTTTATCCTTCAACCAGTATATTTTTAAAAAGGAGCCAGGCACAGTGGCCCATACCTGTAATCCCAGTGACTCTGGAAGCTGAGGCAGGAGGATCGCAAGTCCCAGGCCAGCCTTAGCAACTTAGCGAGGCCCTGTCTCAAAATAATAAAGAAAGGGTTGGGATGTGGCTCAGTGGTAGTACACCTCTGGCTTCAATCCCACTGCCAAAAAGCGGAAGAAGTTCTCTGTCTGGTGGTGTCTGGCCACCTGTTTTGAGTGGATCGTGCTTTGGTGCTGCGTCTCCATCCTTGCTGCCTAACCATGGGGGTGTGGTGCACAGCAGGCCTCCGATTTTGCTCTGGTCCCACAGCCCTTGTGAGTTCCTGTTAGCTACAGTAGCTTTCTCTTAGAGCTCACCCGATTGATGGGTGGAAGGTCACGTCCTGTGTGTGCAAGACCCTGGCAGGACACTCCCACTGTGCTGCAGAGCACGCAGGAACACACTCCTGCCTGGTGCTTGCCCTTGTCCTGGTGGCCGCTCTTTGTCAGGTGGAGGAAGTTTCTTTCTGTTCCTAGTTTGCTTGTGGTTTTAAATTTCACTGTGTGAGTTTTTACTTGTGGGAAGCGAAACAAAGCTAAGCAGCACCCACTTAAAAGCTGTAGGATTTGATAAGTTTTCAGATGTTAGATCTCCTCTGCTAGTCATGGCATATTATCCCTGTGTTTATTGGCTTTGATTGGTTGATGTCTATCATATTAGAATTAAGAACTTATAAAGAACTCTCGCCCATTTTTAAGTGATTCTGCACCACCCCCACCCCATACCTGCCCAAAACTGGAGATGGAACCCAGAGTGCTCTACTACTGAGCCACACCGCAGTCCTTTTTATTTTTATTTTGAGACAAGGACTCACTAAGTTGCTGAGGCTAGCCTCGAACTTGCAATCTCCTTGCCTTGAGAACCACTGGGATCAGAGGCATGCACCCCAGTTCCGGCTCATGAGTGGTTTGATCTGCACTTTCCACTGGACATGGGGCAGCAATGTCCCCTTCTCACTGGGTGTCAGCAGCTGTCCTTTTTCCATCAGTCTTTCTTCCTGGTCCGTCAGTTGTCTGTGCCCTAGTTGTTCTGACTCTCCCTTCCCTGACCTGCCTGCGCTTTCTCTTTCTGCCCCTGAAGCAGAACATGAAAAAGGCAGTGGCATATTAATTGGGTTGTATATTTTTGTGGAAAGCAAATTTCTGTCCATAGCCATAAATCTGGTTTGTGTTGTACTTAGTAAAGTGTTTTAACCTAAATCACAGCACCAAACTGACAGATATTTTTATTTTCAGGAGGATTTGCATTTGTATACGAAGCTCAAGACCTGGGAAGTGGCAGAGAGTATGCATTGAAGGTAAGAAGGGATGACCAGACGTATCACATGGCTCTGCTTTGCTGTGAGGAAGCCTCTGGGACTGTTTGCTGCAGGGTGTTTCCTGCTGCTCTGTCGGTTTGTTTGTCCTGTCTCCTTCATGTCTCAGGGCTCACCTTCAGTTCAGCTCTCCAGCTTGGGTCAAGGACATTTCTGTCCTCCAGGAGCCAGTTGGCCTTGGAAAGAGACGTGAGAGTGAACTCACCATGGAGTCACATGCCAAATAGTGGTCTAGGAGCTGAAGGGGTTTCAGAGACTGGCACAGGACATGTGTCCACAGTGCATCTTCAGAGAGCAGGCACTGGAGGAGGGCCTAGACCTGCGTGGCAGCAGCAGGCCCACTTGCTGGAGGCTGGAGGGCCGCCTTGCCCTGATGGCTCCGGGGCCTGGTCTTGTCACCCCACAGCGCTGCCCACCTCTCTGAGAACCTTCTCTCCTCCTCCTTGTGTATCTCATTCCACTCTGACGCACGTGGGAGAAGCTCCTCTTTTGTGTTCTTGTTTTCTGGGCTCCTCAAGGCACTTGACAGATCTCCGCTTCTGTCAGGGCAAGTGTGGAGGTTGGACAGGGCATGCTCCTAGACGCAGTGCTCTTCCTCCCTGGGTGTCTGTCTGAGATGAGGCATTATGTAAAACGGAAGGTAAACAGTCTTCCACCTTTTTTGTGTGCTATTCCCTGGCAGAGGTTACTGTCCAACGAAGAGGAAAAGAACAGAGCCATCATTCAGGAAGTTTGCTTCTTGGTATCCTTTTCCTGGGACTGAGAGCCCGCATGTCACTTAGGTGGACAGCCTGCATCAGGCTGTGAGTACCAGCTGCCCAGAGGCTGCTCTGTGATGTTCTGTTTGATGTGTTAAAATTGACCTTTTGCTTTTACCAGACTTCCTGTTGACCATTTCCAGTGAAAAGCAATTTTCTTCCCTGTTCTCTGTCCCAGGGTCACAATAAAAGATTCACAGTGTCGGGAAGGGAGTTGTTGTTCCTGTCTGAGAGGTCTCCATGCCAGTCGGGTGGGCCACTTGCCACAGGGAGAGCCCTGCTTTGTCCCTGCCCCTCCGGCCCCAGGAGCTGTGTGGACAGTTTTGGCACAGGCAGACTTCCATACAGCTTCACCTCATTGCCCCCTACTCAGCCCTCCTGATGCTGTAGTGATGGCAGGCTTCCAGGGCCCTTCTTGTCTACTGTCCTCAGTCGTGTGTCCTCCCTGAGTGGGCGGCTCACCTTCACCGTGGGTCAAGTTTCCAGGCTCTGTAGCTGTGGGTGGCATGGGCACAGTCTCTCCTCACAGCCTCTCTCCTGCGGACCCCAGTGCCTTTGCCTGCTTCCTCTTGGCCTGCTGCACTTCTGCCCTCCCACTGGCTTCCTCCCACACTCTGCCCCCTTGTAGCCTTGCCAGCCTCTTGCCCACCTTTCTGCTTGAACGCACTAGACTGAGGCAGGGCAGCAGTCATGCCTGGTGAGTCTTCATGGATATACGTTTATTTTAAGTGCACAAAATTGTGAACACATTTATGCACATTCTCCTTTAACAAGACACCTACAGAAGAAACTTTCTGGCCACCCCAACATCGTCCAGTTCTGCTCTGCAGCATCCATAGGAAAAGAGGAGTCGGACACTGGGCAGGCCGAGTTCCTCCTGCTCACGGAGCTCTGTAGAGGTAAAGTCCCTGGAATCTGAGTTGTTGCTGTGTGACTTGTTCACACAGCTGTGAGGCATCCCCAGGTCTCTTCAACACAGCTGGAGCAGTGCCCAGGCATTGAGCGGCCTTCGGGTTGTCTGGAGTGGGCTTGTGTTTCCCTCCTGGGCTTCAGGCTCTGAGGGAGCAATCTCCTTATGTCTTTCCAGCAGCCAGATGGGCTGGCCCACAGCACCCTTGGGCCCCTGTAGACAGGGACGAGGAGTGCTGACAGTGCCCGTGGGGCTGCTTGGTCCACACTTTGCAGGAAGGAGTAGTGCTTGGTCCGGAGAGGAGAGAAGGCGGGGGGGGTGGTGGTGGGTGGGTTGTGACCTCAGCAAGGTCATGCCCAAGAAGGTGGAGGGAAGGCTTCTGGGCCCGCAGGTGGGACAGGGAAGAGTTGCCTGGTGGAAAGCCCTGCGACAGAGGTTGTGTGTGTGGCCTGGGTGGTGCCTGAGGCAGGGCCCTGGTTCTATGAGCCCAGGCTTGCCTGTGAAAGGAAACTCCAAGGAGGCTCCTCCACCAGGGGAGTCAGTTGCTGGGCATTTTCTGAGCTCTGTCTCGGGGGGTGTGTTACCCACAGCCAGGGAATGCTTCCCTGAGAGATGTGGCCATGGCATGAGTGACAGCTTGTGCGCCCACGGCCCAGGCAGTAAATGGGGGACAGAGCAAGAGTGGCAGGGAGCCCGTGGTGGAAAGGGAAGCTCAACCATGTGAGAGCTGCCACCCACCACCCAGTCCTTCCTCGGAGACCGTGAGCAAAGCTGCTGTGATGGCAGAGTGCACGCAGCCCTCGGTGTAGGCTGCTGGGGGTGGAGGAGAAGGGTGGGGCCTGGCAGATGGCCAGAGGGACAGTGGCTGGGGTTGCACACTCAGGGAGCAGTGGTCCTGTGCTTCAGGGAGGACCCTGGGGTCCCGGTGGGTCGTGGGCCCTTCCAGGGCACAGGAGGAAGGTGAGTGGGCTGCACACTGCTTCTGCGCACCACACAGGTGCCCTGGGCTGGTGGCCTCCATTGGCAGTGCTTCTCCTCCAGCCTTGTCCTGCCACTGCCCCGCTCATCTGCCCATTGCTTATCCCGCTACTGGGGACAGGAAACAAGACTGTGGGGTCAGGAGCCATTGGAGCTGAGAAATACCATCAGGTGACAGTGGAGACATTAACTCCTCAGCAGTGTTTTGTTTTCTCAGCTTTTTATCCTGAAGTTTTCAATCTCCAGGAAACATGCAACAAGTGTGTAGATGTTCTAGATTTTTCCGTATGTGACATGTTCTCACAGTTGCTTCACCTCCCTCAGGTTCTTGCTGAATCATTAAAAATCAGCTGCAGGGGCTGGGGCTTAGTTCAATGTCAGAGTGCTTGCCTAGAATGTGTGAAGCACTGGGTTCGACCCTTAGCACCACATAAGCACAGACAGACACAGTACAGGCATGCTGTCCATCCACAACTACATGAACAAGAATTAGCTGTAAACGTCAGCACCAGGCATTCTTCTTCTTTTTTTTGGTAGTAGGGATTGAACTCAAGGGTGCTTAACCACTGAGCCACATCCCCAGTCCTTTTTGTTTATCTAAAGACAAGGTCTCCCTGAGTTGCTTAGGGCCTCACTAAGTTGCTGAGGCTGGCTTTGAACTTGCAGTCCTCCTGCCTTAGCCTCCTGAGTACCACCGTGCCTGGACAGGACCAAGCAATTTTTACGCACGTATTGTCTGAGATCAGGAGCATCTTCGTTCTTTTTACGGTCCTGAGTAAACCTCTGCAACTTGATGGCACATCATGTGCAGTGTTGTTCAGTGATGCCAGTTGGCCCCGGCTTGCTTCTAGCATTTTCCTGTGCCTATGGCAGACCCATCTCCTGTTCTCAGCTTATGGGCTTGCTGCTCCAAGCTCTGGCTTATTACCTCTGTGCTCCTGGGTGGGACTGATAGCCAGGTCAGAGGGCCAGGGATCTGGGTCAGGCCGGGTCTCATTTTCCTTTCTGCTTTCCCTGACCCTGAGGATGAGGCCCACAGTGCACCAGCCCCTTCCTGGGATGGCAGGAAGCCTCGTGTGCTACAGGTCCTGCTTCTGTAGTCCTGGTTTTCTTTGGTTGGAGGTGGTATGGGGAGCAGTGTAGGTGCTCTGACGCTTGTACTGGGGTGGTGTGGAGGAGACAGGAGTGGCTTGGGTGCTGTCCCTGTGCGGGGTGTTGTGGAAAGGGTTTGGCCGCCACCGCCTAGCCCCGCTCCATAAGGAATGCTGTTTCCTTTTGTGGTTACCCAGGTTCCTCATCCCCATGATGGGCCAACAAATCGTGCACTTCAGGGGGTGCTGCCTGAGGCCCCCTGGGGTGCTTGTGGACACCACAGCCATGCCATCCAGGTGTAGGCAGAGTGGGGGACAAGCACTCTCTGAGAGCCTCTACTCCTCCCCAGGGCCCTCATTCCACCAAGGGCCTTCCTTCCTCTGAGGGCCCTCATTCCTCTAAGGTCCCCATTCCTCCCAAAGGCCCCCATTCCTCTCAAGGTGCCATCATTCCTCTGAGAGCCCCTGCCCCCCACCCCTACCCCAAGAGTGCCCAGGTCCTCTGAGGTGCTGCAGATCCTGGCAAGTAGGTGGGTTGGAGGTAAGGAGGGGTTTGGCTCAGGTGGGGATTAGAGCCAGGGTGGGCTGGCTGGCAGGCGGGGCCTGAGGTGCTCTGGTTGGGGACCACAGAGGCTGCTCAGGCACATCTAAAATCCCAAGTGCAACACAGATTGTAGGGGAAGGAGTTTACCTAGGCTGTGCTGTGGGCATCAGCCCGGGTCTTCTGCTGAAAAGTCCAGTTATAAGAAGGCCTAACTACTGAGTTCAAGTGAGGCCAGAATGGCAAAAGTGGGTGTTTCCTCCTTTTAATAGTGTAGTGAAGGCACTGAGTGTGGAAGTAGTCCTCCAGAGCCTTAAGTCCAGACTGCTGCGCCTCCTGACAGCCTCCTGGGGACACTGCTGTGTGCATTGAGGTGTGGACCTTGTCCTCCAGAGCCATAAATGTAGACTGCTGTGCCTCCCCACACCCTCCTGTGGGCACTGCTGTGTGCAGCCCCAGGTACTGTCCAGGGAACGTAGCTGGATTCTTTAGTCAGAGTTGAGTGTAGGCATTGCCAGTGCAGGAGGACCGAAGCCTGCGATGGAGTGTCCCCTTAGATGGGGTGGCTGGATGAGGCCCCTGGCTATGAATGTCTGGGCTATGAGCCAAGGAGGGGAGCCTGGGGCCTTCCAGCCAAAGACCCACGGTGTGGAAGTCTTGTGTGGGACAGAGTGGGGCCATGTGGCTGCAGGGTGTGCACCTGGGGCTTGTCAGGCATGGCTGTTTCCTTGCTCTGGTACTGAGTGGGGTAGGTTGCTAGGGTGCAGGTTTTAAAAGTTGGTTGGGTCCCAGGGTGAAGGGGGACTGCAGCTAGATGGGAGTGAGGCAGTGAGGATAGGTTGAGTGTGAGTAGCCTGTGGAGGCTCCGTGCATGTGCACAGGGTTACTAGCAGTGGCCCAGCCCCAGAGGCTGAGGTCCTTGGCCCTGCCTTTGGTGCACTAGCCAACTTAACCTGAGATTCCTAGTTCTGTTGGTTGCTCAGGCCATGAGCAGCTGGGCTGTGCCCACCACAGTGTGCCTGTGGTCCCTGGGCTGCAGAGCCATGGCCAGGATGTGGGAGCCCACGTGCCTGCACAGTTAGTAGAGTCAGGCTGGGATTGTGGCTGTGGAGGTGTCCTGGTCATGGATATATAGTCATTTCTCCTTTTCCTGTTGAGTGTGGTATTCCACCCCAGCCCCATAACCACGTCTAACCTAAGCAGGCAGTGGTTGCTTCACCAGAGACCTTGAAATCTCCCATGACAATTCGTTTCTTGATGGCTACCTCCAGTGGCGTGCTCAACTCCATGTCACGGGGGCCTGTGAGCCCTTTTTCCTGGGTGCTGGTACCTTGGTCCTTCGCCCAGTTGCAGGGGCGTTTCCTTACTCAGAGCTCTGCAGTGTGATGATTGTGCTTCTCATGCTGCCCCAGGATGCCCCACGCCAGTTCCCACTGTGACACTACCTTTCCCCCTCCCCTGCCCCTACCCCTACCCCGGACCTAGGGCTGCAGTTATGCCTCCTATCCACAGACTTTCCTACAGCCGCCTGAGAACTGCTGGGAGTCAGGCTGGACCCTGACTGTGGGTCAGAAACTGTACAGGTTCCTGGCAGTCAAGGCTGGACCTGAGCACCTGGCTCGAAGCATACGGCATCCGTCAGCCCCGGGGTGATTAAATGTACTTATCTCTTTTAGGGCAGCTGGTGGAATTTCTAAAGAGAGTTGAATCTAAAGGCCCTCTGTCCTGTGACACCATTCTGAAGATCTTTTACCAGACGTGCAGAGCAGTGCAGCACATGCACAGACAGAAGCCACCTGTCATCCACAGAGACCTCAAGGTACCAGCTGCCATCAAAAGTGCTTGCTGGGTCCCTTCCTGCCTGTGTCCTTGTGGGGTACAGCGAGGCTTCGTGGAGGCTCCCTCTGGTCTCTTGGGTGTTCTCACCCAAGCGACTGGGCTCTGGGCCTGCACTCCTTGCTCTCCCTGCCGTCTCCCACCCTGCACCAGCAGGTGTCCCTGCTGCCTAGCCCTGGGGGGCAGTGCCTGTGGGAGCAGGCCTGCCGCGTGGTGCAGCTGAGGGTCACATTGTGGTCGTCAGGCTCTATTCTTCAGTCCCCTTCCCGCCAGCTTTGCCGCTGCTTGTCTCTCTCGTGTGGTGGGTTCATCGGAACTCCACTGTGTTCTCAAGAGTATGTGCCACAGGAGTCTTCTGGTGGTGGCCTAGTTTTCACTTCCTTATCCTATTTTAAAAAACCAAGATTTGTGAGGACCATCTGACGTCTGAAGCTTGTCCTTGTCCTGACCCCTTACGTTAGGGACCTGGACGCACATCTTTGTGGGAACAGGGATGTTCCTTAGTCGATTGTAGCCCTGTTGTTGCCCAGCAAACGAATGTCACCTGGAGTTCCAGCTCGGGCCTAGCCTATTCCCAAGTTCCCCAGTTTTCCTCAAAGTATCGTATCTCCTGAGGTCTGTGAGCCTGAAGCAGTGCCCACCACGCAGGCTCTAGAAGCAGCCAAGGTCTCCTGGGCAGACCCTCTGAGTGCTCAGTCGGCCTTTCCTGCGTCTGGTCTGTTCACCTGGAACTGGCTGAGTGACACTAGGTGGGGCACCTCATCACCCACCTGCGCCCAGGCAGGTGTCTGCCCATCCTGGCTGGGCCACCAGTCGCAGTAGGGTAGTGTCCGCTCCTCAGTGGACACCAGTGGAGGGTGGGTTTTTTGTGGCACAATGAATTTTCTGGCTTATGTCTTTTAAGTGCAGCGAGTTTTGTGTGTATTAAGAAAAATAGAAAACACAGAGTTAGTTGGGGAAAGAGTCGGTTTGTGAGCTTGGCCTGGTTGGCATCACTTGTCCTCCAAGTAAGAGGTATCCTTTGCTCCACAGTGTCCTGTGGTCTCTGCTGCAGGACACACAGCTCCACCCAGGCTCTTCTACCCCAAGTGCCGCTAGCCATGAAATGCTAGCCACTGCAGGGCTCAGCAAGGCCTCCAGGCCTCTCTCCACACTGACCCCAGTGTCTTGATTTCCTCTACTGATGCATGTTCTGCAGCCACCCAGGGCAGTGTGCCTTTCTGCCCTGGGACATCAGGAACGGACTCTTGTGGCACACGTCCTCCTGTGCCTGGCTGCTTTCGCTCAGTGTTGCCCATGAGATCTGCCTGCCTCATATGTGGCCCTGCCTCCTGGGGTATCTGTCATGGGTGAATGCTTCCACACTGCTGCCTTGTTCGTGGTGGGCTGCTGCTCTGTGCCCGCCGTCCCTTGGGAAGGGCACTCTCTGTGGGCAGGAGGTGCAGGGAGCTGTGGCTGGAGGGCATGGGCTGATCCTGGCGGACCCCACCTGGCTTCCTGCTTGCCTGCCCTGGTACCGCAGGTGCTGCGACTCTGCAGCCTGAGGGGGTCCAGGTTGCCATCCTTCCTGTCAGTGAGACTGGCTGGCTGCTCATGTCTACTGGATGTGGGTTCCTCTTGGGGAGGTCCTGTCTCGTTGTCCTCTCCCTGGCGAATGCAGATGCTGGTGCTGCTATGTGGGGTAGGCCTCATCTGGCTGCACTCCTGCTCTCAGGGAAGGTCCTGTGTTGAGTGTTCTTCCTGTAAGCCAGAGCCCCTAGGCTCTCTGCATAGGAGTCTGTTCTGTTTTCCTGAGGAGGCCATTTTGTCCCACAGGAAGGTGGCCTTGTGTACTGTCTTCTAAAGGACTTGTGCTTTTGTTTGAGCTTAGGAGTGTCAGTGTTTGACTTTTCTGAACTGAGACAAAGTCATTATCCTCTCGCTTGTCCTCTGGTGCCACCTTGTCATGAGCATGGCGTCTTGGTGGTGCTCTTGGGCCAGGCTCCCTGTGCTGGTACCAAAGTCTCCTGAAGGCCTAAGTCTGGTCTCTAGGATTGGGCCCTCTCTGGCCATCTGGCTGTCCATGCAGTCTCTATGGTTGCACCCTCTTTGGCCATTTAGCTTTCCATGCAGACTGTTGAATGCCTTTTTCAAATTCTGCCCAGAACTTTTAAGAATTTCATCAGAATTTTTGACCTTCATGTAGTGGTTGACATCGTCATTCAATCAACCACCAGACTTCAGGAATCAGGACCCTGGCTCTGCTGGCCGCTGGGTTTCAATGCATAGGAAATCCTATAACATGAGTGGGTATGGCTGGGTGCCAGTAAAACCATGTACTGGAGTTGGTATTTTCTGTGATTTTATGTATAGTGGAATGTAATCTTTCTTTCATTTTTTCAGTCATTAAAAATGTAAAAACTGGCCTGGTGGTATAGCTCAGAGGCAGAGCACTTTCTTAGCATGGGGAAGACCCTGGGTTCCAACCCCAGTGCTGCATAAAGAAGTAAAGTAAATTAAATCGTAAAAGCCTTCCTGGCTGTTTGGCTGCACCAAAGCTGGCGGCAGCCAAAGTGGACTTGGGATCACAGACGGCCACCCACACCCTGCGGCCCTTGGGGTAGGTCCGACATCTATACAGTTGCACTTCATGTGGGAGCATGATTAGTTGTTGGTTCAGGATCTGAAAGTGCCCCTCATCTTATGCTTTCTGCACAGAGGTCTTTGCCCGTCTTTTCTTGGGCGTATTCCTAGGCTCTTGATGCGTTCAGTGTAAAAGGTATCTTCTATTCTCTTTTCTTCCACTTTCTTGAAGGCTCATTGTCGGTCTCGTGTTGTTGATTTGGGTGATCTGCTTGATTTATGGTTAATTTCAACTTTAAAATTTCCTGAATTGAGGCTATAACAGGAGGATCCCAAGTTCAAAGCCAACAACAGCAACTTAGTGAGATCTTGTCTCTAAATAAAATGTAAAAGGGCTGGGGATGTGGCTCAGTGGTTAAGTGCCCTTGGGTTCAATCCCTGGTACCAAAAAGAAGAAGAAGAAGAAGAAGAAGGAAGAACCAGGCACAGTGGTACATGCCTGTGATCCCAGCAGACCACAAGTTCAAAGCCAGCCGCAGCAACATAGTGAGGCACTTAGCAATTGAGTGAGACCCTGTCTAATAAAATATAAAACAGAGCTCCATATGTGGCTCAATGGTTAAGCACCCCCTGGGTTCAACCCCCTTTACTAAAAAAATAAAATAAAAGATGATTTCTCAAAGTGTGTATTTAATTAAAATAGGTACACATTGCTTCTGCTCAGGAAGGACCTAAGACCTCGAATTGCTTCCCTGGGAGAGCAGCCCCTCTGCTCCCTCCTCCTGCCCCATCAGGCTGTCGCCAGCCTGCAGCACCTCTTGCACCTCCACGCTGCAGTGCTGCAGGCCTTGTGGGTCCTCTGGTGGCTCTGTGGCCAGCAGCCTTGACTTGGTGCAGGGGACTGTCTGGTGAGGCACTTGTTCTACCTCATGCTCTCGTTGGCTTCTGCTGAGGTCTTGGCTCAGTCTGCACCCCAAGTTTATAAGTACTGTCTTCTGGAATTTTGCAGGTTGAGAACTTATTGCTTAGCAACCAGGGGACCATTAAGCTGTGTGACTTTGGCAGTGCCACAACCATCTCGCATTACCCTGACTACAGCTGGAGCGCCCAGAAGCGAGCAATGGTGGAGGAGGAGGTGAGGCCTGCTGCCCGAGTGCTGCTCCTAGGTCCTTCCGCAGTCCCTTTCCTTTCCCTTCTCAATCCCTCATGTACAAGCCTGAGCATGTCCCTGTGAACCACAACTGGGCCTGGTGTCCTGGGGGCCTGTCCTGTTCCAGGCTGCCCTCCATCTACCCTCCACAATATCCTCTCATCTCACCCCCTTCCTCACAGCAGATGGCTCTGAATATCTTAATGCCTGTTTTCCCTTGGATGTTTATTATTAGGTGCACACAGATGTGCCATGGCAGTCCCTTTAAGTGCACAGTTCAGTGGTGTTAATGTGTGCTTGTTCATGGCGTTGTGCAGCTATCACCACCACCATCTCCTGTTTTTCAAAAGTATGGTTTAGAAGTGCACCTCCATGTGGCTCTGTCCAGGAGATCATGCAGCAGGTGGGCTGCACTGTGGCTCAAGTTCTGCAGTAGCTTGAGCTCACGGTGTCTGTGTGAATCCCATAGACAGAACTGTTCAGAGCAGAGAGCCACGGGCTGGGGCATGGAGTCTGACAGAAGGCTTCAGAGGGTGGTGGGAGATGGCCCTTCTGTGAGGCATTGTGCATGGAGGGTTGGCCCCCATCAGTCTGTCCTGCGTGGAGCTTGCCTTGTGGCCAGGTTGCTCTGTGCAGAGGTGTGCACCTTCCTCCCGTGCTGCAGGTGGTGTGGGAGGAGGTAGTGCTGCTCCTGCTTGCTGCCTGAGAAGAACACCGCCTTCTTAACATGGAACAGGCCTTACCAAAGAGCTGTGGGCTCTCAGGAGCATGTCCTTGGATCAGAGCCATGCTTCCTGGTCTTCCACTTTTGTCACAGGCCTACTGAAAGGGCCACATGCTGAGTGCCCAGCCATGTTGTCTCGGGTTGGCTGGCCAGTTCCTCAGGAGGAATTGGACCATGTGCTGAGCTGGTCAGAGCACAGGGAGGAGGCCTGGCCTTTGCTGGCTGCCTCACAGCCCCACTCCGCACAAGAGTATGGGGAGGAGGTCCCCATGGCCCCGAGGATCTAGTACCAGTGGAGGTAGTGCCATCAGCCATCTCCAGTGTGGACAGACCATGGGGTGCCATGTATCTGGTGCTCCTACAGCATGCTGCCACCTGCCACAGAGGGCCTGCTGGAGGTGTGTGAGCTGGCTGCCCTGGGCTGCCTGCAGTGCAGCTCCCCTGAGCCTTCTGTGCTGCTGCGCGGCCCTCGATGCTCTGCACGTGGCCGAGGCAGGAGCTCGTGCCTGCTCGCTCGTCTTCACGGGGACTGTGGTGCCACATTTCCCATGGTGAGCATGTGTCCTTAATTGTGGTACAAGGATGTCCTAGATCTGCTTCATGCTGGCTCCAGGTTCTGACCTTTTTCATCTGCTGTGATTTTAAATATGGTTCGTTCTCCTGAACACAGGTTGTAGTTTAACCCCATCATGAGGCCCCAAGAGGATAGAAACCTACCCTGAGGCTCATAGGAGTCTTTTGGAGGGCCATCAGGGTTAGGTGAGTCATCAGGGTAGAGCCTTTGGTAGCTTTACACGAAGGGAGAGCTGTGTATGGTGGTCACACTTGTGATCCTAGCTACTATGGAGGCGGAGGTGGAAGGATGACAAGTTTGTCTCAAAGAATAAAAAGGACTGGGGTGCAGCTCAGCAGTAAAGCACCACGACGTACAGATGGCAGTGTGCAGGGTGCTCTGCTGCCTCCACATGAGCTGGGCTGCCCTGGGGCCCTGCCAGCAAGACAGCTGCCACAGATGTGCACCTGTGACCCTGGGCAGAATCAGGAGCCAGAGCAGCCCACTCATGCTCGCCTGGTCTGTGGCATTGTGTCAGTGTGGTAGAGAATGGCTCTCACCGTCATCTGGAGTGCTGGCGACAGGAGTACTGATTGTTCTCTGCTACCCCGAGGCCCTGAGATTGCCTCCTCTGAGACACCAGAGCAGATGTGCTCACTGGTGTACACATATGCGTGCATGTGTTCACATGTGAATTGTGTGCCCTCAGCATGCATCCCCAGGTCTATGCCATGCTCCACGCCAGCCAGCCCAAGGGCTCCTGGCTCTGCTCCCTCCTTGGCGAGAGCTCAGCTACCAGTGGTGTTACTGATGTGAGTTTTCCCAGCTGCAGCACCAGGTGCCATCAGGTTGAGCCCAGAGCTCCTGGCTGTGCGTGTCCTTCAGGAAGGTCGCTCCTCGCTACTTTGTTGGACAGTACTTTGGGGAGCAGTCGCCAGGTGCCCTCCCCTCATGGCTCCGGGTCCCTGCTGCTCAGTTTCCTCCTGGTCCTGCAGGGGTGTCTTCACCCTGCCCCGCTCTTGGCTGCTCTTCTCCCCCATCCTGAAGTGAGTCTGCAGTGGTCGTGCTGTGTGTCCTTTCTGCTGGGAGCTCTGGTGGCACTGTGCCCCACCCTGCACCACTGTCCTGTGGCTGCCCACTTGCCAGCCTCAGGTTGTTGCCTGTGGACCACAGGTCTTTCAGAGGACAGTGCATCCTGTATCCCATCTGTTGAAGAAGTGGCTGCTGCTATGTGGCTCCTGGGCATTGGCTGTCCCTGTGGCATCTGTGACTTGGGGGTGGCTGTATGCTTGAGCCTTGCACTGAGACTCACATTTCCTGTGCTGTGGGGGTGTGGCCCTCTTAAGTGTATGGGGCTCAGTTTTTAGACCTGGCCAACCAATACATGTGGTCACTTCTCTTGTTACAGAGGTTTTTGTGTCCACACTAGTGTCCATGTGGAAGCTTCCGTCACACAACACCCCAGCTCACATGGCCCTCCTGTGGCCGGTCTGCATGTAGTGCCTGGAGTGGGCTCAGCCCACTGAGATGTGCCTCTCCTGCACAGACAGCAGGGTCCTGTTAAAAGTGGGTGACCAAGGCCTCTGGGACTCCATGGCAGGACAGGGCACCACCTAGCCTGTGGTAGAGTTTAAAAAGTTGCAGGGTTTGTTGTTGTATAGACCAGATGGACAGAATGCTTTGTTTTATTGGTTTACTCTTATGTGGTGCTAAGGATCAAACCCAGTGCCTCATACATGGTAGGCAAACGCTCTGCCACTGAGCGACAGCCCCAGCCCATGTTGCAGGGTTTTGATGTGAAACAAAAAGTAAGGCTTACACGTAACTTTGCTCTGAAATACTTGTGTTTTTCTTCAGATCACGAGGAACACCACACCCATGTACAGAACCCCAGAAATCGTAGACCTGTACTCCAACTTCCCCATCGGAGAGAAGCAGGACATCTGGGTGAGGCTGATTGCCTAGTGGCACCTGGTTTGAGCAGGCCTGCAGACCCAGCAACCCTTGTCCCCTGGGCCTCCTCCTTTCCTTTTGTCCTGGTCTGCTGAAGAGCACTGGTGACGCCTTCTGGGGGAACCCAGTTGAGAGAGCCAGCTGGGGGTCAGTGGGCTCCAAGGCAGCACAGACGGCAGGCATTGGGGGGGTCTGCCTGGCCTAAGCTCCGGGTCAGGTGAGCCCAGGGCTCCCTGTTCCTCTCCAGGGTCTTGCCACCTGGACTGAGGGTGGCCATGCTGCACTTACATGGTGGACAGGAAGCCTGTGTGACTTGGAGGCTGGGTCTCTCCCCCGAGCAGCAAGCAGCCAGCTACCCAGCCACTGTTGTGGCTACGAATCCTTGGCAGCTGTGCGGCAAGGTCCTCCCTGGTGCCCAGTGGCCCAATTCATGTCCCTGTGCTTTAGCTGTGTAGGTTTTTATTATTATTGTTATTATTGTTATTTTAACATTCATTTTTTAGTTGAAGGTGGACACAATACCTTTTTTTTTTTTTCCATGTGGTGCTGAGGATCGAACCCAGTGCCTCATGCATGCTAGGCTAGTGCTGTACCTCTGAGCCCCAGCCCCAGCCCTAGCTGTATGGTTTTGAGGGACCTTTTGATCTGAAAATGAGAGTTTGGTGCTTCAGTCCTGCAGCCTGGACATTTCTTGTGTCGGGTAGGGTGGAAAGGGCTAGGCTTCCTGTGGGGCGGGACCAAGAGCATGAAAGGGGTCCCTGAGGAAAGGGCTGCTCCTCTGCCCTACTCAACCCATGCCCAGGTCCCCTGGCCTGGCCCGCCTCAGCTTTGCTCTCCCTGCAGGCCCTGGGCTGCATCCTGTACCTGCTGTGTTTCCGGCAGCACCCTTTTGAGGATGGTGCAAAGCTTCGCATAGTCAACGGGAAGTACTCCATCCCCGGGGACGACTCTCAGTACACCATCTTCCACAGCCTCATTCGTAAGTTCCCCTCAGGCTGGTGGGTGCAGGGGCCTGGGTGAGGAGCCTCTCCATTGGGCCGTGATGCCCCTCACCCGCTGCCCACAGCTCCTGCACTGGTGCTTTTCCATGGAACCCCAGCCTCTGCCCCACTGAACTTGCGACACTCTAGCACCTTTCTGATAACTTGGTTCAGTTTTATGGTTGTGCTTTGCTTTGCTGCTCTCCCTTGCTCCCAGAGTTGGCACTCTGGTGTTAACCAGGTGAGAGTCGGCCGTGCTCTGCCCTGGAGCCGACATGGGGTCCAGTGGGCTGCTGTGCTCTGCCTCAGGTGCCATGCTGAGGGTCAACCCTGAGGAACGGCTGTCCATCACAGAGGTGGTCCGCCAGCTACAGGAGATGGCCGCAGCCAGGAATCTGAACCCCAAGGCACCCATCACAGAGGTAAGGGTGTCCTGCCACTGCTCTGTGTGCAGTTCCAGGTCCTCGCGGGCTAGCAGCTATTGTGCAGGCTGGAGTCCTGCCGCAGCCAGGTTTAAGAGCCAGGCACTGCATTGGTCCTGACTCTGGAGCCCTGATGTTCTGCGCACGCTTTAGGCCCAAGGGTCACTCCATCAAAACCATCTGGTGGTTCTTGCCCACATTCTGCTGATGTGTGTTCCTTTCTGCATGTCACAGTTTCTGGGGTCAAGCGTCCTTCTGTGGCTTTATGATCATGTCCAGTCTCCACCCACAGCTGGCTCACATGGCTTTGGGACCGTCCAGGCCCCAGCCAGCTGTTGGGCTGAGGCTCCTCCCTGTGGCTACATACCCAGGAAAGTGGGCAGGTCAGGAGGGCCCTGGCGCTTAGCTGCAGGACTCTTCCTGAGGTAGCCATGAGGTCTGCCCATACCTCTGGGAGTGGGACCCGTCTGCAGCTCAGGGCTCAGGCCAGACTTCACCCCTCCACTCTGGCTCTGCCTCCTGTGAAGGCGAGGCCCTGTCCTCTTTGCTTTCTGGTCGTCTGTCAGCTCCTTGTGTCTCTCACAGCTGGAAGCATGGTTTTCCAGGGGCTGTCAAAGCAGGGCGTGTGGTGGGACAGTGCTGTCTGTGCTGCTGGGGGTGGTACAGGGCACGGGAGTTCTGCTGGCCTGCACGCTCACCCAGGACCCCAGGAGGGAGTTGGGCATAGGAGGCTGAGGTTTATGATTCATATGTTGGGGAGCAGCAGGAAATAGGGCAGGGCTAGTGGAGGGGTGCCAGGGAGGAAGTCCTGAAGGTCTGAGGTGGCCGATTGGTGGCACTGAGGGCCTCAGTGAGAAATTTTTGTGGAGGTAGGATGGCTGGTCTGTTTCGAAGAGAAGAGCTGACAGGCATGTCTACACCTCTCGGTGACTGCTCTGTGGCCAGGGCAACTCCAGGCCCCAGCAGAGTATGCTGCAGGCCGTGGAGGTTATAGAGGCCAGGTGGCATGTAGGGGCCATGGGCCTCACTCTCCATGGGGTGTGCACTGAGGAGGTGCACTGGTCCATGGGGACTCCAAGCACACTCTGACTTTTGGGCTTACAAGGCTGTCACACTGCTTCTTGGGGCCCACTCCCCAAGCAGGGCTGCGCCGTGGTGGAGGGAGCAGCCCTAGCCCGGGCACCCAGATGCCTGTGCCTCTCGTCTGCATGCACCATGCATCTGCCTCCCGTGGTTGGGTGGATAGGGAAGAAGCTGGAGAGGCGGGGAGGGCGCTCAGCCAGGTGTGGGTTGAGGCCGACAGCCACTTCCTCCCCATGCTGAGTGTTCTGGGGCCACGGTGGCCTGCCCTCCACCTAGACCCTTAGCAGGCAGAAGAGCAGCTTAGTGCAGGGCCGCGTGTTTGAGCTGAGGCAGGTGCATAACAGTCTGGCTCCCCAGGGCGCCAACGCCATGCTGTTGGTTCCTATAGCTGCTGGAGCAGAACGGAGGCTGTGGGAACCCAGGGCCATCCCGAGTGCCACCCCCCGCCGGAGGCCCTGTGGGCAGTGGCTACAGTGGAGGTGAGTACTTGTGCCCACTGTCCACCCCCTGTTGTGCGCTGGACACCTGGCACATATTGAGATGGAGCCCAACTCCCTCTCCTGTGGGACTTTTAGCCTGGTGGTGAGAGACAGACGACAAGGCTTGGTCCCTGCACTCCCCGAGCCTCATGGCTCAGCTGAGCTCATGCACGCAAGGTGTGGTGTGGGCTCCTGGGAGTGGGGCAAGGTCCAGGAGAGGCCAGGCATAGGTCTCCGGGGTCCTGTCCCAGGGGTGGTCAGCACCTGGATCCAGCTCATGGCCAGGGTCATCCTGGGGCCAGGCTCCTAGGCGCAGCTGACTTCAGTCTCCAGCTTTCCCAGAAGTCAGTCTGACACTCTGCGGCCCAAAGCCACCTACACCACCAGTGTCTGGGCTATCTTACACAGCCCGAGGCTACAGGGAAACTGGCTTCCTTGAAATAGGGATCTTCCAGGGTCCCTCCCGGGAGCTGAGGACAGGGGCAGAGTGGGGAGTAGAGCTGGGCTGCAGGAGAGATTGCAGGGCTGGGGGCCACCTGTGCCCATGGCTTGAGTTGCCATGTGCTAGAGCATGGCCTTCTACCTGGTGCAGAGTGGGCTTCTGTGAGCGTATCTGTGGGGGCCTGGGCCTGGGGGAGAGGGGAGGGTGCTGGGGCAGGGACATGGGCACATGCTGGCCATGGGCCAAGCCCCCCGCCCAGTCCTCTTGGTCTCCTGAGGAGAGGGCGTGGCCCCACCAGCTGGCTTCCCTGTGTTTGGGCACTCCAGATCCACCCCACGGGGCCCAGCAGGTGCAGTGTGGTAGCCATGTGGACCTGGAGCCTGGTCGCATCCACACCTGCACACTGAAGCCTGTGAGTTCTCGCTCCAGGACCTGTGCTCTCAGGGTCCACTTTGGTCAGCCTCCACTTTTTGACTTCACAGCCGGGGTGGCGTGGCCTCTGCCCACGGTGCCACAGAGGGTAGAGCTCCAGCTGCAAGCCCTGCCTCTGGACCGGGGGGATAGCTGTGAGACTGCTAGGGCCCAGGCAGGCGTACTCCTGGGTGTGGGCTGGGCCAGCAGCGCCTCCCAGGGCCCACACACCTCCGTGCTGCAGGCAGCCTCACACACCACGCCCTGCCTGTCCTGCAGGCCTGGCACTGGCTGAGTACGACCAGCCTCACGGTGGGCTCCTGGACATCCTGCGGGGTGGGACCGAGCGACTCTTCACTAACCTCAAGGACACCTCCTCCAAGGTCATCCAGTCTGTTGCTAAGTAAGTGTGGTTTATGCCCCATCTGTCCCCAGTGCCAAGGGCAGAGTCACAGGCAGACTCAGAGTGAGCCCAGCACCACGGAGCTGGGGAAGCCCATGCATAGACTCCTGCTGGGACTGGCCCTGGGCTTGGGCTGTGCCCAGCCTGGGCCCCTTGCCCTAGTCCCCAACACACTGTCACATTGTTTTTCTGGGTGTATGACAGGTGAAGTGACTGTAAGGCATAATGTTCCCTCATCGATGAGGTCTCCTAGCCACATGGCTTGAGCACGTGGTCATAGAGCACCACTGCAGGCCAGGGACGCCCCAGAGTACAGCCCCATGTCCAGGGCTCAGCCCTGCTGGCTGCTCGGGTGCTGTTGAGGGAGCACTGAGGAACCATGCTGTGTGTGGGCATCAGGACCAGCCCCGTCCTCCACACTCTGCAGGCGTGGGGCTTTCTGGCCTCCTTTTATTTGTTCATTCTGTGTGCCGTGATGCCTTGGTGTGCACAGGTGTTCTCAGCCCAGGCAGGGACAGGTGTCCACATGTACACGTGTGTATGTGCTTGCATGTGTGCATGTCTGCCTGGGGTGCGTGCTTGAATTGGACACTGTCCTGCAGACGCCGTGTGTGAGATGAACTTTAGAAGTGGCAGCAAGCTCCTCTGTGTGTGTGTGGTGCTGGGGTGGACCCTAGGCCCCTGTGCGTGCCAGGCATCCCCAGCTAGCTTCTTCATTTTTTGGTTCTTCCCACTGAAGGGGCCCAGGTGTGGGGATGGGTGGCGGTGGCCCTGAGCCCTGAGCTGCTCGCCCATGGCTGCCCTGTCCCAGCAGCTGGAGCCTCGGCTCTTCTCAGTCTGGGGTGCAGGCTGACAACCTTGCACACGTGTCTGATGCTCACACGGCCAGCCCCCAGGTTCACCCGGCAGGGGAGGCTGGGGTTGAGGTGTGGGTGCACCTGATGCCTACGTCGTGCTGGGCCAGGCGTCTTGCTGCCTCTGCTCTGCCCACTGTGCCAGGCAGCCAGGCGTGTGTGTCATCCTGGAGGGGCAGCCAGGCCCTGTGGGTGGGTGGTGCTCCCCCTCAGGTGTGTGGGTCTGCCTTTGCTGTCATCTGTTTAGTGGTGCTGGGACCTGAACTCAGGGCCTCACACATGTTAGGACAGCACCTTACCCCAGAGCCGCATCCCCAGCCCTTTCCATTTTTTTGAGGCAGGGCCTTTCTAAGTTGCCCAGGCTGGCCTGGAACTTGCGACCCTCCTGCCTCAGCCTCCTAAGTAGCAAAGATCACAGGCATTTGCCAGCACATACAGCTGGGTTTTTGTTCCTGTTTTCATGCTGATACTAAATGTTCTCTGAACCACTGTGTGTGTGTGTGTGTGTGTGTGTGTAGAAACACATGGCAAATACTTTTTTTAATCCAGTTATACATTATGTGTGTGTGAACAGACGTTTATTTATTTATATGTGGTGCTGAGAATCAAACCTGGTGCCTCACACATGCTAGGCAAGCGCTCTACCACTGAGCCACAGCCACAGCCCCACAGAAAATACTTTGTGCCAGACTGTGGCTTGTGTTAAGTGCCTCGTCCTGCAGCAGCGCCAGAGCATGAGACTTGCCTGTGCTTTGCTGTAGTCTTCTGCTTTTTGTCTTCTTTAGGGAGGTCCTCTCACCCTGAGTTCGCTGGTTGCAAGTAGGTCTAAACAAACTTTTAAAATGTTAAGATTTAGCCAAGCCATTTCATACTGCTTAACAAAGCTTAACAATCATAAATATTTATAGCCCAAACAATGGAGCATCTATATACATCAACCCTTCTCGATATCCAGAATCAAATAGACCACAGCACAATAATACTGGGTAACTTTAACAAGCCTCTGTCATCACTAGATAGATCCTCCAAACAAAAACTAAATAAAGAAGCTGTAGAGGGGCTGGGGTTGTAGCTCAGTACTTGCCTGGCATGTGTAAGGCTCGGGATTCAATCTTCAGCACTGCATATAAATAAGTAAAATAAAGTTCCATTGAAAATTAAAAATAAAAAACTGTAGAATTAAAGAAATACAATAGATAGCTTAGAATTAACAGACATCCATAAAATATTGCATCCATCAATGACTGAATACACTTTCTTCTCAGCAGCATACGGATCCTTTTCTAATATGACCATGTTATATAAGCTGTCACATATGTTGGCATATAATTGTAATATGACCTTAATATGTTTTTAGCATCTATAGGGTTATTTTGATAGCTCCTTTTCCATTGGTATTAATCTTTCTGTTCTTTTTTTTAATTAGACTTGTTTGGTTTTTATCAGATTTTAGCTGTATTATTTCTTCTTTATTTCATATATTTCTGTTCATACTTCAAATATGTGCATTTTATTGTACTTCAATTTTACCTCAATAAAGCTATGGGGAAAAATAAATAGATTAAGCCAGGCACAGTGATGACTCTAATCCCAGCAGCTTGGGAGGTAGAGGCAAAAGGATGTCAAGTTTGAGGCCAGCCTCAGCAACTTAGCAAGACTCTGTCTCAAAATAAAAATTAAAAAAGGTCTGACAGAGACAAACCGACATGTTAGAAAAAGGCACCAAAAGCATATATTGGAGAAAAGATAGGCTCTTCAACAAATGGTGCTGGAAAAACTGGAAATACATGTGCAACAAAATGAAACTAAACCTCCATCTCTCACCATGGCAAAAAACTCAATTCAAAGTGAATCAAGGACCTAGGAATTAAACCAGAGATCCTGTACCTAATAAAAGAAAAAGTAGGCCCAAATCTCCATCATGTAGGATTAGGCCCTGACTTCCTTAATAAGACTCCCTATAGTAGAAGAATTAAAATCAAAAATCAATAACTGGGATGGATTCTAACTAAAAAGCTTCTTCTCAGCAAAAGAAAAAGTGAGTGAACAGAGAGCCTACAGAATGGGAGCAATTTTTACCCCACACACATCAGATGGAGCACCAATCTCCAGGATATATAAAGAACTCAAAAAACTTAACACCAAAACCCCCCAAATAATCCAGTCAATAAATGGGCCAAGGAACTAAACAGACACTTCTCAGAAGATTACAATCAATCAGCAAATATATGAAAAATGTTCAACATCTCTAGCAATTAGAGAAATACAAATCAAAACTACTCTAAGATTTCACCTCACTCCAGTCAGAATGTCAGTTGTCAAGAATACAAACAACAATAAGTGTTGGCGAGGATGTGGGGGGAAAGGCACACTCATACAGTGCTGTTGGGACTGCATATTGGTGCAGCCAATCTGGAAAGCAGTATGGAGTTTCCTTGGAAAACGTGGAATGGAACTACCATTTGATCCAACTATCCCACTCCTCTGTTTATACCCAAAAGATTTAAAAAACAGCATACTACAGGGACACAGCCACATCAATGTTTATAGCGGCATAATTCACAATAACTAAATTGCGGGTCCAACCTAGATACCCTTCAGTGGATGAATGGATAAAGAAAATGAGGTATATATACACAATGGAATATTACTCAGCATTAAAAGGGAATAAAATCATTGCATTTGTACTTAAATGGGTGGAGTTGGAAAATATAATGCTAAGTGAAGTAAACCAATCCCCCAAAACCAAATGCCAAATGTCTTCTCTGATATAAAGATGCTGATTCATAATGGGGATGGTGGGGGAATCATGGGAGGAATAGACGAACTTTAGATAGGACAAAGGGGAGGGAGGGGACGGGAAGGGGCAGGAGGATAGGAAAGACGGTGGAATGAGACAGACATTCTTACCCTAGGTACATGTATGAAGACATGAATGGTGTTCAACCAGAGACATGAAAAATTGTGCTCTGTTTGTCTAATATGAATTGAATTGCATTCTGCTGTCGTATATAACTAATTAGAATAAATAAACTAAAAAAAAAACAGGTCTGGGGGCTGGGGCTCAGTGGTAAAGTGCTCGCCTAGCATGTGTGAGGCACTGGGTTTGATCTTTAGCACCACATAAAAATGAACAAAATAAAGGTATTGTGTCTCTCTTCAATTAAAAGTATTTAAAAGTGGGGGCTGGCATGTAGCTCAGTGGTGGAGAACCATGGGTCCAACCCCCAGCGTCCTCCACCCCACGCACGATGTTAAGATGACTGTGAATACGTCTTGTGTTTGGGCCTCCACCTATCTGGGCCTCGCTCTGTTGGCCTCTTGCTGGCTCCCGCTGGTGAGCACCCCTCTGCTGAGCACACCTGGGTGCCCGCCCTGGTCTGTGGTGTGCTTGCTTCCCTGCCCAGTTGTGGTGGGTACTGTGGCCCGGCTGCTCTGCAGGCTCACTGGCCTGCTCCTGGCCCCACCTCGCAGAGTGTGTTGGCTGGGCCTGCGTAACTGTTTATGGAGTTGGAGTTTACAAGAGGATTGTCACCTTCTCTGTGTCACTGAGGAGTTCTGTCAGCATTCTGTTGGTGCTATGGAACTGTTCAGAGGACAGTTGGTCTCTAGGAGGTGGCCAGGACCACCGCAGGGTGGGTCTCAGGAGCTTGCAGCTCCCCTCCTGCCTTCCCTCAGTGTCGGCTGGCTCTCTGGTGGCCTGTGTGGCTCCAGGTGTGTCCTGCCCTCAGGCTGCTGGCCTTTGCAGCAGTCTTAACTGTGTTCACATCTTGTTCAAGATCAGCCCCCAACACTCAGGAAAGTGGTAAGGTGGCTAAAGGCCCTGTTGGGCCTGCCTCGCCGCTTCCTGTTCACCTCTGGTTAGGTATTAGCTCCACACACGCAGAACCCTGCGCGCACACGCACCTGTCTCCGCACACACACCTGCTGGTGGGGTGCGCCTACAGCAAGAGTGCCCTGGGGTGACTGCCACGTGCTTCCTGCAGTAACCTCATGCTCTTCTTCCAATTCCAGCTATGCCAAGGGTGACCTGGACATATCCTACATCACATCTAGAATTGCTGGTATGTTGGCCAGGGTAGCCTCTGGCCCTCCCCGACATGCGCCCCCAGGAGGCTCCCAGAGGCACTGCAGGCAGGGCCCTGTGTCCACACACCTCCAGCTCTGCCTGCAGCTCTGATGCCAGGCTGCACATCTGGGATGTGGCTCTCCAGGCACAAAATAACCAGAAGTGTCTCCTGATGCCTGGGCACCCTGCTGGCACCCCTGCGAGGGAAAGCCTCCTGGAGCCCCCGTGGCTGTTCTGTGGTGTCTCCCATAGGGGTGGTCTTTGCACCTTGGTTAGCAGCCCAGGTCAGGCATCCCCAAAGGCCAGGAGGCCAGAGGGCAACTGGGGAGGCTGCAGGAGGCTGCCTGGCTGGAGGCTGACAGGCTGCTCTCTTCAGTGATGTCCTTCCCAGCTGAAGGCGTGGAGTCAGCCATCAAGAATAACATTGAGGACGTGCGGCTGTTCCTGGACGCCAAGCACCCAGGGCACTATGCTGTCTACAACTTGTCCCCACGAACCTACCGGGCCTCCAAGTTCCACAACCGGGTCAGTGTCCCCTGCTCATCATGGCATGACCCTGGTGGCTGTTCCCCACTTAACACAGGTTCAGGTGGTGATGAGCCACCTGGCTGCCATCCTGCACTGACCTGTCTCACCCATGTAGCCTGCAGGTGACCAGGGCTTGGGACAGGTGGGCTGTGGCAGGAGCCCAGGGTCTAAGAGAGCCAGGGGGCTAGGGGTCACTGTGTCATCAGACCAGGTGTCCCTACCTTGCTGCTCCTGACCTGCAGGGCAGTGTGGCCATGAGCTCCTGTGTTGAACATGTGCTAAACAGGTGTCACATGTTCGGGCTGACCCAAAGCACAGGAAAAGGTGTCCCAGGAGTTGTGTCCTATGGCACACAGTCCAGGGTCACAGGTCCACTGCACATGAACATCAACTGAGGAGGGCCTTGGGCACCTTCTCAACACACCTCAGAGAAGCACAGTGCGGCACATGGTGGGCACGAGTGAGGCGCGGGCCCGTACACAGCACCAGCGCATGAGCTGAGCCGAGCCGGCCCCTCCTGCAGGTCTCCGAGTGCGGCTGGGCAGCCAGGCGGGCCCCACACCTGCACAGCCTGTACACCACCTGCAGGAACATGCACTCCTGGCTGCGGCAGGACCACAGGAACGTCTGTGTTGTGCACTGCATGGTGAGTCGCAGGGGCCGGCTCGGCTGTGCTCCTGCTCTCCACCAGAACTGGCCTGCTGGAAATGGAGCAGGCACTGTTCCCTGGGTGGGGCAGGCAGCAAGCAGAGGGGTTCCTGCCCCAGGGCACACGGACTGCCCAGTGGGGTGACTCCTGCCTGTGGAAGAGCGCTTGGTGAGGGCATCCCTGGGCACCGTGACCTGTGCATCCTGCATCAAGTCTCTGCCTGGTCGTGGCCATGCCCGCCTCCTCCTCTGCTCGGGTGTCTGGGTCTGCAGAGTGAGGGAGCATCTGTGAGCTTTCCCCAGGGCATGACACTACAGGAAGCACTCAGGGCTCATGCCAGGGACAGTGCTGGCAGATTCAGGGAAAGGGGTTGAGTCTGTGGGGCCGTGGGTCAAGCTTGAGATTGTGTGGGATGGTGGCCGCAGGAGCTGGCCAGTTGTGCTTGTCTGGCCAGTTGTGCTCGTTCTCTGCCGGGCTCTATGTTCCTGAACATACCCAAGGTCAGGGGGTGCGTATGTCTGTGCCATGCCTGGCACTCTGTAGTGGGGGAGTCTACAGGAGCCAGCAGAGCCCTCCGCACCATTGAGCAGTCAGGTGAAGGGCCTGTGTCCTCGTCTTAGGATGGGAAAGCTGCGTCCGCTGTGGCCGTGTGCGCCTTCCTGTGCTTCTGCCGTCTCTTCAGCACTGCAGAGGCCGCCGTGTACATGTTCAGCATGAAGCGCTGTCCGCCAGGCATTTGGCCATCTCACAAAAGGTACTGTGTGTTCTTTGCCAAGGTGGTGACCACTGCTCCGTGCTGAGGCGGCGGTGCCCCACTGCCTTGGACCCAGTGTCACCACGGGTGGGCTGTTGGGCTTAGAGCCCATCCAAGCAGCTGCTCCCAGGTGGTCAGCACCACAGTGGGTGTGGCTTGGCCTCAGCTGGGACTTGAGGACTGTGAGGGCCCAACCTGTGATGGGCAACTCCCTGTCCAACTCCTGGAACTGGGTCCTGCAGCAGGTGTGTGAGCCTGGGGGACCACACGCCTGCTGCGGGGTGCTGCACCCCCCCCCCCCCGGAGCCTGTGGGCTCTGCTCTGGAGGTGAAGTGGAACATGTGGCCCGTGGTGCTGCAGGTGTGCAGTGCCATGCTCCGCCATGAGTGAGGCGTTGGACGCTGCTGCGCCCTCAGAACACTCCGGCCATGTCCTGTTCTGCATGGGTACCGCACGGGCCCTTCTCTTGTGGCTGGAGGCTGAAGCTGCCTTGTACCTTCCCATCCTCTCTGGGACTTCTGCATTCACCAGTCATGTCTACTGATGTCCACTCTTGCCCGTTCTCCTGCAGTGATAGGGAACCTCTGGATAGCCAGGTCTGAGGAGTCACCCTGTGGTTCGTCTTGATGAGGACCTGGGGCACCTGGAACCTCCTCCTCTCTGTGGATAGCAGAAACCCCCAGGAGTGGGCAGAGCACAGGAGCACAGCCAGCATGGACACTGGGAAGAGGCAGGGCCCAGGCCATTGAGGGGCCATGACATCCCCAACACTCACAGGGCCCCAGAAGCAGGGCCTGCCTCATCTGCTTTCTGCCTAGGACCAGAGCACCATGCAGGGCTTTTCGGCTCCCGGGGCACAGGCCACTTGCTCTCCTGGGTCCTGCGTGTTGGGACAGGGAGGGACTCTGGGCACCCCAGCAGCACCCCAGCGATGTTCAGGGTGCTGCTCCTGACAGCGGGCCCCACCTTCATGCCCCAGCTGGCCAGATGCGAGTTGTGTCAGCACTGGTAGGGCAGTAAGAGCCGTGCCGTCAGGCAGACGTGCTGAGCACCAGGTCGATACAGGCCCAGTGTGCTGCCTGACGAGGCAGAGGCGAGGGCAGAGCCTCTGGGGCCATAGCCCAGGAGGGCCCTTGCCCCCTTGGAGGTCCTTCTGCCATGTGCCTGGCACAGACCCTGCCTGAGCTTTCCTTCTGGAAGGGAAGAATGGGGCCAAGCACCACACTGTCATGCTGGGGAGCTGGCAACAGCCCACCGGTTGCCGAGCCCTGGGAAGGCAGGATGTGAGGTGGGAGCTCCAGGGCACAGAACCCAAGGGGGCTGTGTGCAGATTCCACTCTGCTGAGGAGTGAGCTGGGGGCTTGCTGACAGGTCACACTGCCCAGCGGATAGCAGAAGCCAAGAGACCAGGAGCTGCTGGCCTGTTGCAGGCAGCCGGACACACACAGTGTATCCCACTGTAAGGGGGAGAGCGGAGGATAGATACACCAAAGAGAAGCCCAGGAGTCTCTGAGCTGACGACAGACTCCCAGCCTCATGACACTGCAGGAGCAGAACCCAGACAGGAAGACCCGTCTCAGCTCAGACTGCTGCAGACTGACACGCGGGTGCTGCGTGTGGGGGCTGTGGCAGGTCCACCAAAGAAAAGGAAGAGAAGCATGAAGATGTGTTGTTAGGGCTGGGCATGGCTCCCTGCAGTGCCTGCCTCACACATGAAGCCCTGGCTTCTAACCCCAGCGCAGCTGACTGACCCAGGAGAAGGCTGAAGGACAGAAGGAAAATGAGCAGAGAGCTGACAGGGCGAGTGGGGACTGCTGCCGGCACAGCAGCACTCAGCTCCGGGCCAGCCGAGAATGGCTGGGAGGGCCAGCTCCATGTGAGCAGTGTGCTTCTCCCTTACGGCCCTTGGGTCAGGAGCCCGAGCACCAGGGCAGGTCCCTCGCAGGCCACGCAGGCTGCATCCAGATAGTGAGCTGCATTCTCACCAGGAGGGCCGTGCGCCTACCCAGAGGGCTCCTGGGCCCTTGCACCATGGGCAGCATCTGCTTGCTCTGGCTGAAAGGCCTTGTCCTGCTTCCAGCCATCGGCTGGTAGCCACAGTCCTCGTGCTGCTACACCCCAAGGAGAGCCTGTGCAGTGCGGGTGATGGACCCAGTTGCTGGCCTGGGGCTCCCGTGGAGGGGCAGCGTGGAGGCTCCCACAGAAGCACTCCCTGGGAGAAGGTGGAGGAGCTGTGTCGGCACTGGACAGAGGACACAGGAGTTGGCATGGCAGGACCCAGCACTCACCTCTGGCCCAGGTGGCAGGCCGAGAATATGTCACCAGCAGCAGAGACCTTCCCCAAGGGCACAGGGCATGTTCAACAGTCACGCACGTTAGCTCAGCAAGTCAGAAAGGTCGAAGTCACATGAAGTGTGTTCTCAGGCCACCGCGGGGCAGAACCTAGGGGTCGGGAGCAGAAGGGTGTCCAGCACAGTCTTCAGCACTGCTGGGTCAGACAACGTCCAAGTAACCCGAGACTCGGGGGTCCTGAGGACGATTTAGAAATGTTTTGAACTGAATGACAATTACAGCTCTCAATCTGAGGAGCAGCTGAAACTTCAAGGGAAATTTATGGCATTAAATGGAAAAGAACAAAGGTCTGGCGGTGACTTGTCCCCCCAGGTACATCGAGTACGTGTGTGACATGGTGGCGGAGGAGCCCATCACGCCGCACAGCAAGCCGATGCTGGTGAAGGCTGTCATCATGACACCGGTGCCGCTGTTCAGCAAGCAGAGAAGCGGCTGCAGACCCTTCTGCGAGGTCTACGTGGGGGACGAGCGTGTGGCCACCACATCCCAGGAGTATGACAGGATGCGGTAAGAGTGCAGTGGGGCTGCAGGTGCCAGGGAGGCGGCGTGGCTTGGAGTGCTGGGTCCTGGGGGGCCTTGGGGTCTCTGCTGTGTTTGCTGGTGAGCCAGTTCTGTCCCCTCAGGGAGTTCAGGAGCGAGGACGGCAAGGCGGTCATCCCCCTGGGCACAACGGTGCAAGGGGACGTGCTCCTCATCATTTACCATGCCAGGTCCACACTGGGGGGCCGGCTGCAGGCCAAGGTGAGTGCCGTGGGGAGGGGAGCTGTGTGCAGGCCCCCGGCCGCGGGGCAGTGGTGCCCTCCACGCTGCACCAGGCAAGGGGAGCCAGGCTCCCAGGTCGGGTTTCCCTGGGTGCTGGGCTGCGTGCTTCACACTGGGCCTGCCGCATGGCCCTGGGGCCATCCGGGCCTGGCCACACACAGCCTCTTTCCCCACGCCCATCACTGGCTGCGAGGACAGGTGGTCTGCCCCAAGGCCAGACTGCACCCTCAGCTGCTTTCACCTTCTTGCAGATGGCCTCCATGAAGATGTTCCAGATTCAGTTCCACACTGGCTTCGTGCCTCGGAACGCCACCACCGTGAAATTTGCAAAGTACGTTGGTGTCAGGCTGCACTGCTGCTCGGGAGGCGGGCTGGACCCAGAGCTGTTGGTTAAGCACCCACCCAGTGGTCTGCCCAGAGAAGACTGGCAGGTGTGGTGCTATGAGGGGTGTCCTGGCACTACAGCATGTCCTGCTCCTGAGCTCTGGGGCCTGGTGGCTTCTGCTTTGTGCCAGCTGCCTAGGGACTGGCTCTGTGCATTTCTGTTAAAACGTGACCATTTGCAGCTGGACGTGTGGCCAGGTGAGTGGGCTTTGGTCACCTGTGTTGAGCACCTGCTCTGTGCACAGTGCTCTGCAGGGTGCTGAGCCAAGGGACAGGTGGTGGAAGGTGCAGGCTGCTTTTAGGCAACACTTACTGCCACCCACTCACAGGGGGCCAGGTGGCAGGCGTCACTCTGCATTTAGATAGAAAGCACAGACTCCATGGGCACTTGGAGATGTGGTATGTGGGTCTGGCTGACGGGCTCCGCACCACAGGCACTCTTGCTGGCAGGGGCCTGCCGTGCTCCCTGCCCCTGGCTCTGGGCAGCTCTGCGTCTTGCAGCAGTGCCTCATGCTTCCTGCTCTCTGGAGTGCTGTAGTTCTTCAGCCACCATGGCCTGCTCGCAGAAGTCCTTCCATAGATTGAGAAACTCTTGACCAGGAGGGAAGCAGACCTGGGTGATTCAGACACACAAGTCGGCAAGCAGGACCTAAGAACCGCAGTCAGCACTGCTGTGGTCCGACATCTTCCCCGGCACCCCCAGAACTTGGCCCCCTCCTGAGGGGTTGAGGGGGTGGGTTGAAAGAGGCCGTCAGGGCAGGGCCTAGCCGTTGGAATGGTCTCGTGAGGGCAGAGCGGCTCTCTCCAGGCAAAGCTGGTGCTGCCTCGGGACTGCAGGTCCTCTACTACTTGGGGCCTTCCCAGTGTCCCCACCACCCTTAAGCTCTCCAGCTTCTGGGACGGTGAGGAAACAGAATAAACTTCATTCTTTGCCAGTCATTCTGCTGCAGTGAGAGCAACAGAAAACAGACCAAGACTGTGTGAGAGGAGACAGGAATGGGGGTTTCACCAGGCCTGAATCACGGAGGTGTGGATCCAGGACCGAAGGACAGCAGAGGAGGAGGGGCTCGGGCGATCTTGTACAGCAGGACATAGCAGCTGGGGGAGGCCATCTCCTGGTCACAGCACCAGAGAGGTGAAGACACAGGGGCAGGAGACACTGAGCACTCCTGGTGGCTCTCAGGGTAGCAGTGGCTTGCAGGCAGCTGCCATTGGAGCCCTGGAGGCAGGCAGCTTGTGCTGGCTTCAGACTGGAGAGTCAAGGGACCCCTTAGTGAGCACCAAGAGTTGACAGGAGAAAAGGGCACAACAAGAAAGGGGCTGATGCAAGTTAGACCTGCGAGGTGAGGAGACAGAGCCATGGCAGGTGGAGAGCACGGGCGGCCAGCTAAGGGGCCTGGAGATCCGCCGTCCTCCCCAGGCAGGTGGCCCCCACAGGCTGGGCCCCTTGAAGAGCGCATACCAAGAAACCCATCCAAGCTGCAGTGGAGTGCCCACAGGAAGGGGGCTGAATAGCACCCTGGGAGTCGATGGCAGGTGAGCTGTGAGGGCCAGTCAGTAGCAGGAGAGTGCCCTCCTGCACCTGAGCACCCAGTGACAACTTCAGAACAGCAGGGTGGACAGACCTGTACACACCACGTTGGTGCCCACTGAAGCTCAGAACGTTTTCACAAGTGGACACCACTGGGGCTTACAGACAACAGTAATGGGAGGTGTCTGCAGTGCCCACGTCGGAGGGCACATCCAGGCTGCTTCATTAGGGTGGGTGGGGCTGGCAGGTGCATCCCGATGAGGGCCCTGGAGGGGCAGTGATCCTGTGGAGAGCTGTTCACAGCCATTAGTGGGTGGGAATGCAAGTGAGAGCATGGGGGCCCTCTGGCCACCAGGGACAATCTGAGCAGGGCTGAGGCCACCAGAGGCGGGAGAGGTGGTTGGAGGGGCACCTGCTCCTGGGTACCAAGGGGAGTGGCCACTGCACATGGGGGAGAGCCTGTAGCCCGATCACCCTGAGACCCTACCTCCCAGTCCTTGCAGCTGGGGTCCCATTTCCGGCACCTGGTTCTGTGACACGCAGAACACGCCAGCCATGCAGGCACGCGGCTCTGCCATGGGCACCCTGGGTGCTGGTGTCGCTGCACCAGCGGGGAGGTGTCAGGCTGGTTGGTGTGTGGGCATGTAGAGGGAGAGGGGTGTTGCCGTCCAGCGCAGTCAGATGAGCCTGGGGGCTCTGTGCCTGCACCCATGGAGGTTCTGATGGCCCTGACCAAGTGAGGGTTCAGGTGGGCTCCAGTGTGCCACACTGCCATGATGAAACACTCAACATCTTTGTTTACCAGCCAGGTGTTGGGGTCCCCTCAGTGCCCCGTTGGAGGTGACAAGGCCTGGCCTGACCTCCAGGCCTGTGGGCAGTGACCTGTCATCCAGGGCCCCTGGCCCTGCTGCTCCCACCCTGCTCACAGACCCTCATTGTTCCCTCACCCCCCTGTGGTGAGCTGGGCGTCTCTAGGGCCAGTAGGGCCAGGGCGATTGGGCCAAGCGATGGTGGAGCTGCCCACCATCTGTCCTGGGAGCTGTGTGGCCTTCCCACCTTCTGATGGCAGGTTCTAGCCTGCCCTCACTGTGGCCGCCGGCTCTGTGCTAGCTGTGCTCCTTGGCTGGGCACGTCACCCATTCTGGAGGACTCAGGGTAGAAGGACGCCTGTGCCACAGAGCCTGCCCACTCTGTCCTGCATTCTCCTGAGCACGAGGTGACTGTCCTGGGCAGGAGGATGCACCTGGCTGTGCATGGTGGCCATGCTTGCTTGCTGGTTTGAGTATAAGTGAAAGTAAATCAGCCCTCGTTCTGCCACCCAACCTCTGTTACCTGGCCTTCCTCGGCAGCCTTGGTGATGGCGGCCCAGGGGCAAGCAGCCCCGTTGTTGCCTGGGTCTTCCAGGATTAGCTGTCACTTCTTTGTGTCTCTATTTTAGTTTCTTGGGGGTTTTACACGTGAAACTTAAGAACGACTATGTGGAGACATTGGGTGGCAGATGGCACGCAGCTGAAGAGTGGCATGTATCCGTGTAGCCCTGGAGTCAAGGAGAGCTCCCTGGAGCACTGTAGAGCCACCGGGTTAGGACAGTCTGTTGCCTGCAGGGCACTCTGCCACCGAGCAGCTATCCCTCTAGTGTCTGGGGACTCGCAACGTCCACTTCTTCTCCCTGCCTGTCCCTCTGCCTCCGCCGGGCCCCACAGCAAATTGCATCTGTAATCCCTGGCAGTTGGGCCCCAGAGGTCTTGGTTTTCAGCCTTCTGAGAGTAGTTGGGGGTGTTTGCCAGGGTAGATGGCATGATTTTTAAGAAGTGCATTGACAAACCCAGACCCCTTGATCTGAACCCTGTGAGTGTCTGCAGAACGTGTACGGTTGGGGGATGAGGGCAGGGCTACACGGGTCCCTTGTGGGTGCCGGGAGCCGCCATGGAGGGCCTGCCTGAGGGAGTGCACGTTCCCAGGTGCAGGGCTCACTGCGCTGTCTAGCTGTCCTGTATGCTTCAGTCAGTTTCGAGCACACAGACTCAGGAAACACTGGGCCTGGCCCTCTCTGGTAGCAGCAAATGGGAAACCGTTGCCCGGTCTTGGGAGCCCGGGTGGTGATCCTGTGATGCACCAGCCCTTGCCTGCAGGAGTTATGTGTCCCACCATGGACTGGCCAAGCAGGATTTCCCAGACCATCCTCACTGGTGTACGTTGGCAACTAGGTACGACCTGGACGCATGTGACATCCAAGAGAAGTACCCAGACCTGTTCCAGGTGAGCCTGGATGTTGAGGTGGAGCCCAAGGACAGGCCGAGCCGGGTGGCCCCGCCATGGGACAGCACCAGCATGAGGGGGCTGAACCCCAAGATCCTGTTCTCCAGCCGGGAGGAGCAGCAGGACATTCTGTCTAAGTTTGGTAAGACCCCCCATGGGCAGAACGTGGCACTCCAGCTCCCATTGTGCTCCCAGAGTCCAGGAGAGGCCTGCAGAGGCCACGTCCTACCCCAGCCTGCACTGTGCCCAGGCCGTGCACTGCATGGCTGCAGGGGTGGCAAAATGCCGACTTTGGGTGTTGGATGAAGGCTTGGCTGTGCACCAGGGAGGGATCCCAAGGCCTTGTCCTGGGTTCCCACATTGCACCACTCACCTGGCCACCACTGCAGAGCTCCAGCCTGGACCCTCCAGGGAGCCTGGTCTTGGCTAGGCTCCCCAGAGTGAGGTGGTACCGCTCTGCACAGAGCCCTGTAGTCTGCTTTCAGGGTCGCATGGGGCCCACCAGGAGGACTCTCCTCCAGGCTCAAGTTTGTGCCCCCTAGCCAACACAGTTTGTGTGTGTCTGGACACGACCCTGTTAAATGTGACCTGGAGGCTGGGACCATGGTTCTCGGAAGCCCTTGCTCAGCGGGGTATCTCATCTTATTTCAGAGCAGTTCCCCAAAAGTAGTACAAAAGTGCCCGGCAGGTAGGACGTGCCGTGCGGCTCTTGGCAGGCTCCCCCCCCCCAGCCTTGGCCTTGGCGTGTGTGCTCTGCGCTTTCTCCTCCAGGACAGAGAACCCTCCCTGAGGGGTCTGCATGTGGTGCCGTGTGCATGTGTGCAGGCGTGTGTGGTGCGTGGTGTGCCACAGCGTGAATGGGTCTGCTGGCGCCTGCAGCTACCCCTGCTGCTGCTGCCCTGGCTGGCCCGCGGTCCTGGCTCTGCAGGCCTGACGCCATGCTCTCCTGGCAGGGAAGCCGGAGCTCCCCAGGCAGCCGGGTTCCACGGCTCAGTACGAGGCCGAGGTGGGGTCTCCAGAGGCTGAGCCCTCAGAGTCGGACTCTCCACAGAGCAGCAGCACTGACGCCAGCCACTTCCTCCACACGCTGGACTGGCAGGGTAGGCGCGGCCTGGCCCTCCTCCTTGATGGGGTCCAGCAAGTGCCCAGGGCTCACTGGTCACCGTGGCTTTTGTGGCAGTGAGGCTTCATCGCCCACAGGGGTGCACCATCCTGCAAGCGGTCACATGCTGGGTCAGGTGCACTGGCACTTCCCAAGGGGACTGACCAGGGGCAGAGCCATGGCTGCCTCTGGAGGGCAGCAGACACCACCAGCTGGCCTGTTTTAAATGGTTCACAAGCCGAGAACAGTTTCTCTATTTAGAAGAAGCGTAGTGTCCACAAAACCTAAAATGAGGGTCTGCCTGATAGTGGCCCCTGCCCAGGGAAGCCCAGCGCACAGGAGGAGGCCTCAGCAGGACTCTGAGTCACAGGGGTTCCCATCCTTAACACGGGTGCCTGTGCCCCTTATTGCCCAGAGCCCACACCAGGCTCCCAGGCCCAGCCCTTGATTTCACACCCCCCCAGTGACCCTTCCTGACATCCTAGGGAACATCACTGCCACCCAGTGACACTGTCGCCCCCAAAGGTGTCCCCCGCTAGACTGGCTCTCAGAGTCCACCCTGCAGGGGAGTCAGTGGCGCTGGAGAGGCAGCAGGAAGAGGACCTACTGAAGTTGGAGGCAAGGCCTGACCTCTAGCCATGTTGCTTCCCCTGGAGGCTGTGTGGTGCTGGGTGCCAGCCTCACCTACTGCCAAACCTTGGGATGTGTTCCCTATCTGTCCCATGCACCAGAGTGGGCATGGAGACCCTGGTGCTGACTGCGGGCTGTGTGGGCCACAGCTGGGGTTCTGTGAAGCCTCTTCTGGCTACAGCAGCCTGGGAGTCCACTGGCCCATGGTCTGTCTTCTTTTCACAGAGGAGAAAGAAGCAGAAACTGGTGTGGAAAATTCCTCTCCCAAGGAGAGTCCGTCTGCCCCAGTTGCAGATGGAGAGGGGAGCGAAGCCTCGGATGAAGAGCAGCAGACCTTCCCTGGTGAAGACACGCCTGGCCTCGCTGCAGGGACTGACCAGGGGGACTTGACACTGCAAGTGGGCTCCTTGGTGGCACCACAGGAGCCCCTGCCACAGGAGGAGGGTGTAGACCTCCTGGGGCTGCACTCGGAGGTGGACCCAGGGCCAGTGCCCCCCTCGCAGGCCCCCTCCAGCAATGCAGACCTGCTCAGCCGCCTTCTTGGAGCGCCCAATAGCACTCCAGAGGGGCCCCCGGACGACCTGCTCCTGGCCAGCCCAACCCCACCCCGGAACACGCAGAGCACCCTGCCAGGAGGGCCCCCTAGCCCTGGTACGCACTTGCATATCACGTGAATGAATGAGGTCCAGCCTCCTCCTGCGCGGAGTGGGAGCTTCCCTTTGTCTGGAGACCTGGGACAGAACTGCACTCGGGAGAAGCTACTCCTGGCTGCAGGGCGGCTGTCCCCACCAACTCTGCCCTCATGGGAGTAGCTGTATCCCCAGGGTGGCCGTCCTGAACTGGGGGCCGTGGGGGCCATGCATCCAGGGAAAGCAGTTGGGTGGCTCAGTTTGCATGGCCAAGGCCACCTCCCCATGGAGTGGGAAGGTCTGAAAAAAGAGCCATGGTGGTCCCCAGAAAAAGCCTGTCTCCTCAGCAGACCCATTCGACCCGCTCCGGCCTCCAGCAGAATCCAGCACGCAGCCCTGCACCGCGCCTGACCTGTTTGGCGAGCTCCTCGGCCCCGACTCCACAGCAGCAGCCGCCTCACCTGTCTTCCCTGCCACCCATAGCGCCCCGCCCCCGTCCTGCAATGCAGCCTTCCTGCACTTGGGTGAGCCAGCTTGCCCTTGGGAGCTGAGGGCTGAGGGGTCCTACTTCTTGGTGCCTTTCCCACAGTCCGGGGCTGCTTGGGGGTCTGGCAGGACCTACGGGGTCAGGATGAGTTGGTTCCTTCTGATTCTGCCTGAGCTTTCCCCTAAGATCTGGGGCAGGCTCTGGGCCTTGTCTTGCTGCTGCCAGAGGCCTTTCAGCAGGACACCTCTGGCCCCACGACCACTGCTGGGAGCCAGAGCGGCCACTCTGCCTGGTGCTTTCATGGGGTGAGGGTGCAGGAGGTAGGATAGGGATTCAGGGACCAGGAGGGCCGGGAAGAGGCAGCTGGAGTATTGGAAGCCAGGGTTTCTGTGTGGAGGTCAGGCGCTGGTGGTAGCAGGAGAGGCCAGCAGAGCTGAGGCAGAAGAACGCCCTGCTCCCTGAGCCGGAGTAACGTGGCCACCGCCTGCTGTGGGCAGCTTGGGGGCCTGCTGCCTGGGGCTCTGGTAGATGTGGGGCTGGGCGGGATAGAGGACTGGCTGTGGACCCATCGGGGGGACTGTGTATGGCCGTGGTCCCCGTCCTCCAGGTGGTGGGCCACTGCGGGCCGAGTGGGCTTTGGAGAGGTGGAAGGTGGGTTTGGGGCTCTGCAGTTGGCTGCAGAGGCAGCAGGGGCTCCAGAGCCCCTCTCAGACTGGTAATGTGCAGCTGCCTGCTGGCTTGGTCCCCTTGGCTGTCCCTGCTCCTCTCACTCTGCTGGTCAGTTTTAGCCATCAGTGGACATGTGATGCATCCTCCCCACCCAGTGGGAAGAGGGTGGCCATCCTAGCTCTCGTGGCCCAGGGTGTGCCGCCACATGGAGTGCTAGGCCAGGCTTGCCTCCCACTCGCTGCCCAGGAGACGAGGCAGACACACCAGCCAAGCTGTCCTGTCTCTATAGGGGGTCTTCCCGCAGAGCCCCGCAAGGTGACAGCCTCCTCCAGCCACCCCGATCTGCTGGGGGGATGGGATGCCTGGGCCGAGGCTGCTGTGCCCACGCCAGCCCCCATGTCAGCCGCAGAAGGTAAGGCCACCTGGCCTGGGCTCCAGGGCACCCACCCTGCCCCGGGGACAGGAAGGGTCTGCTGTGCCTGCAGGCTGTGCTGTGCCTGCTCAGCCCCGGGCTAGCCTGCTGGGCGCCTGCCCTGCACGCTGGTCCTGCCTTTTCTGGGATGCATGTGCTTTGGAACACAATGCACACCTGCGTGCTATTGTCTGCCCACTTGGTTCTGGTTCCGCAGCGTCCCATGTTGTGTCTCCTCTGTACCCTGGAGGACTGGTTGAGGCCACCTGCTGTGTGTATCTCATCCAGTGTCACTTGCCCTGTAGGTGGGCAGGCTGCTGAGGGCCTGTCCTCAGGCAGCACAGGTCCACCTTGCTGACACACTCTGGGCCAGCACCTTCAGTTCACAGGGTCACCGGTGTGTTCACTCTGGGCGCTCATTTACTATCCTAATTGCCCAGACGCAATTCCTGTCCTTGGTTTCTCACCAGAGTTGGATAACCTCTAAGATGTCTCACCATTTAATAGGCCATCCACAGTGCTGTTTAGTTTGTCTCTTAGGGATGATGTCAAACCTTATTTAGTGTTTTTGACTGTTTGTATTTCCCTGAGGGTTATTTGCTATTCTTTGTTTCTTTCCTCATAGGGAATCAATCTTTTGTTGGTTCAGAGCTCTTTATTTAAAAATAGCTGCCATTTGGAATGCATACTATTTCATCAAGGGGGTGTACATAATTGTTTAGCTCATGATTTTGTACTTGAGGTGTTCTCAAGTTTGTGGTATGAGGATATTCTGTATTACAGGCAGTATTACCTACAGTGTAAGGAATAGTTTACATGTAGCTAGATTCTAGCAAGTGGTACTGATACAAAATCAGAACACTGTGGACATTCCTTCCTGCTCCTTGGGAGTGAACTCTGAGGTGTTCTCCCTCTTGTAACTTAGCAGAGGCTAGCTTTGAACTTGTTATTCTCTGGAAGGAGCAGCATGAGCAGTGGAGGCAGCCGTGTGAACGTGTGTGTTTTGCGTCTTGGCTATGCCCTGTGCACCCTCCTCCCAGTGTCTGAGGCTTAGGCGCAGCCTGAGCCTAGAGTGGGCCTGCAATACGGGGAGGGAGGAGCAGGACTGGGCAGGTGTGTGCTTCAGCTGGCCACTGCCTAAGGCCGCTGCTCTCTCCAGGCCCCCTTTTCTCTCCAGGAGGTCAGCCGACCCCACCTGGCCCGCAGCCCAGCCAGACCAAACCTCAGAGCCTGGACCCCTTCGCTGACCTAGGCGACCTCAGCTCCGGCCTCCAAGGTAATGTGTGTTGCAGGCTGTGTGTGCCTGAAGGAGGTTCAGGCCCATCTACCCATGTGTGTGCTCTGAACCCAGGACCCGGGGACTCCGTCGCCTCCCAGCCCATGTGGGGTCAGCTGATGCCTGGCCCTCAGCTGCAGTGCTGTGCACCTCCCACCTGAAGCCTCACGCCTGCCTCAGGCCCAGCCCATGCCCCGTGCCTCACATCCCCAGCCTGACGCCCATATTGGGCTCAGCTTCTGGGACAGGTCTCCCTGGGGTCCCTGCAACTGCTACCTAGGGCTGGTCTCCTTAGCTTCTGAGAGAAGGGCGGGGACATTTCCCTCTTGTCCCTCGTCTGAGGGGCCTGTGGCGTTCCAGGTGGGAACCTCCTAGGGGTGCTGGTGACTGGTAACGCAACCTGCTCTGCGTCTCCACCACTGGCACCGCAGGTCCTGTCCCCTCCCCAGCTCTCTTCTCTTCCTATGCGCAGTGCTGGTCTCCTGGGCTTCCCTGCCGTGTCCCACCTGTCTCGCTGCTCCTCTGCTCTGGGGAGAGTGCGTGTTATCACCTAGTTCCACGAACTCACCCTGAGTTCCTGGTGTCCACGTCAGGTCATGCTGGCCTAAGGTCCCCAGTGGCCACTGCCTGTGTTTTTGCTTCCTGTGTGGCCTGGGTGCCCTGTGTGAGTGCAGGTGGGACTGTGGGGTGGTACCCTTGGAGAGCACCAGCTCCTGATGCTGCCGGGCCTCATGCCCGGGGAGGACAGCACTTCGAGGGCAGCACCTGCTCTGGACAGAGCTGACTGTCAGCTTGCTGGGGGTGGCCCCTGGGACCTCTCCTCACTTGCCCTCAGAAAGCAGCAGCCCTGAGGGGTTAGAGCTGAGACACCTGCAAGGAGCCTGGATATCCCTGGTCATGGCTGGGCTGGGCATGCCCACTCCTCTGTCCCTGGCCCGGGCTGCGGAGCACAGAGCCTCTCACGTAGCCATGGCCTCTGGCAGGACAGGGATGGCAGTCACAGAGCGCCATGGAAAGCGGGTGGGGTATGGCCGTGGCAGGATGGCAGGAGCCCCAGGAGCAAAGCAGCATGGGGACCCCGAGGCCGCGCCTCAGGGCAGAGCAGCAGAGCCACCACCTTGAGGAGGGCGGAGCCCCAACAGGCACACAGAGGGCACTGTCAAGAGTCCCCCAGGAGCGGTGGTTTGACCTGCCAAGACCCTGAGGATGAGCACAGTGCCGTGGTCTAGAGTTCTGGGCACGCAGCCCTGGAGGCTCCAGTCCTCCAAACCATGACACCAGTGTGAGGAGGTGTGGAAAGTGGGCTCCGGGGAGCACAGAAGGCGCCACGGTCTCTGGGACAAGCTGGGTCACTCCCCGCTGGCTCTGCACAGCCCCCTGATGCCAGGTCAGACGGGCCAGCGCCCACCAGAGCACAGACCCTCGGCAGGCAAGACCCGAGCTGGCGGCATTCGCACACTTGGGGAGTGGCCGCCCGCAGCACACAGGACACCTGAGGGATGCAGCTGGCTCAGCGCTCAGCCTCAGGGAGCGGCCAGCCAGGGCCTCGTCGCCGCTCTCCATGCTGGCCCAGGAGGACTGCCAGTGCCTGTGGTCCTTGGTGGGCAAGGGGGACTGGGACTCCCACTCAGGAGAAACAGTGGACATTGGGCCTCCAGGAAGGGCCAAGGTCACGTGTACAGGAGACCCCAGGAGTGTGGATCCACTTGTCCACAGAGGCACAGGGTGAAGAGAGCACAGAGGCCTCGTGTTGGCAACCAGCAGAGACACAAGCAGCAGCGCCTTCATGGCCACTTAACAGCGCCGTGGAGGCGTAAGCCTCAGAAGCTCACACAGAACCTGGAGCCAAAACCGCAGGAGCAGCGTAGAAGCCAGAGGCCAGGGCGGCAGGTGGCATCCACACAGGCCCAGCCCACGTCCAGCAGCCTTCAGGAGCAGCAGGGCTTCTCCCAGAACCCAGAAGGGACTTTGTAGATGGACATGCTGTCGCCGCATTCACTTGGAAGGCAGGTGAACCAGCACGTTGGACACGGCAATGGGAGTGAGCGGGAGACCTGGCTCTCAGCGGTGGACCCACCCGGTGAGCAGCCCCGCAGATGGGCTGGAACCCAGGCCTCCGGACACGCACAGGCTGCCTCGGGCCTTCCACCAGTGGACTGAAGCGCGCAGCCTGGAGGGCAAGGAGGAGCTTGGTCTCTGCGGTGATGCTCATGGACAGCCCTCGTCCGCGGGGGAACGACGAGTGACAGGTTGAGGGAGATGTTTAGAACAGTGAAAGCAAAGCAGGATCACTCTGGTAGGTAGCGGGCGCAGCACCGGCGTGGCCAGACACCAGCACCACCCTCCTGAAGGACACCAACCTCAGACGCCCAGGAGGGAGGGTGCAGCCACTGAGCTCCAAGACCACAGAAGCACCCCTGGCAACAGCCAGCCTGGGCTCCGTGGGAGGACACACCATGATTCCCCCACTGTCCATACCCAGACCTATTTCTAGAACATTCTTCAGGGGCAACTGTGGCGGAGCCACATGTGTCCTGACGTCCCGTGGCCTCTGGCCTGGGGACGTCCAGTGCAGGTGCCAGGGCCTCTCCCGGCGACAGGAGCTTCATGGCTTCCCTGGTGCCGGTGAGCTCATTGGAGCCCCAGCTCTGCAAGGCAGGGGTGCTGGTTGATGAGAACATGCTGCCTGTCCCCGCCCTGGGGAGGCCCTGGGGAGCTGGTGGGAGGCCCTGGTGAGCGGGCGGCCTGGCCTGGGGGCCGCTGCCTGCTGTAGCCTGGCGAGCACCTGCTCTCTCCCCAGGGCCTCCTGCTGGCTTCCCTCCCGGTGGCTTTACTCCGAAGTCGGCCCCTTCTCCCAAAGGCAGCTCCTGGCAGATGAACCGGCCACCAGCCCAGGGCACCTCGTGGCCTCCACAGGCCAAGCCACCCCCCAAAGCCTGTACGCAGTCGAGACCCCCCTACGCCACTAACTTCAGTGTGATTGGAGGCCGAGAGGAGAGGGGCGTCCGCGCTCCCAGCTTTGGTAAGTCCTGTGCCCATGTGGGTGTGGGTTAGGTGTCTTCCCAGGGTGACTGAGGTGGAACCTGTTCCCCTCCAGCTGCTGGCCGTGGTGCCCCAGCAAGGGAGGAGCTGTCCCATCATGACCGCTGACTTTTCACACACCCTGGTGTCCTTTCTTCCCAGCACAAGCTTCTGGGCTGCTTTTGACAGAGGGCTTCTGGGTCCATAGTTTCTTTTCTGCCGAGGCAGCAGGACCAAGGTCCCCCCTGGGAAGCAAGTAGAAGTGGGCGAGGGACAGAATGGACCAGTGTCTTCAAAAGCCCCCTCTTTCTTCCAGCCCAGAAGCCCAAGGTCTCAGAGAACGACTTTGAAGATCTGCTCTCCAATCAGGGCTTCTCCTCCAAGTCCGACAGGAAGGGGCCAAAAACCATGGCGGAGATGAGGAAACAGGAGCTTGTTCGAGATGCGGACCCACTCAAGTTGAAGGTAGGTGCCCGTGGGTCCAGGCAGTGCCCTGCCAGGACCAGCGGGCCTGGCCCTGGAGGTCAGCTGGCCATGACTGTGGACACCTGGGTCTTGGTGCTGCTCTAGGAAGTTGGGTGGGCAGTAAGGGACACTGGTGCCACTTGGGGCTCCTCAAACCCTGGACATGCTAGGGTCTGGGTCTGTAGGGCCTTTGTCTGACTCACCGTGGGGAGGGCAGATTCGGTTGGGGCTTTGACCCTGACCTGGGGTGCTCTCCTTGGGGTGACAGGGATGCAGTGAGGTCCAGTTACCAGAGTGTCCCACTGTGGATCCAAGATACATTCTTATATGTAGGTCTGGGTGGTGGTCAGCTCTGCAGGACCCAGGTGTGGCTGTGGTCTTGGGAATCATCTGACAGGACACAAGAGACCTCCTTGGTCCCCCGTGGGCCCCGAGACCTGGGCCTGGGATGGGCTGGGGGAGGCTCTGCAGGGGGACTAGAGTTCGTGTCCTCATGAATGTCCTGCTGAGATGGGTCACTCAGCTCTGGCCATGCTGCCTCTGATCCCAGGTCAGTGCAGCCTGAGCACCCCACCCAGCAGTCTCCAGGTATGTCCTGCACGCCTCCCTGCCCCAGGACGGGTGAGCGGGAAGGGCCAGCCACACCTGCAGGATTCGGTGGGCTTCCCAAGAGCTGCCCGCCTCGTAGGCAGCCCCCCAGCCTGTCCCCAGCGCAGCAGGCCTCCAGAGGCTGAGGCTGCTCTCTTCTGCAGCTCCTGGACTGGATTGAAGGCAAAGAGAGGAACATCCGTGCGCTACTATCCACGCTGCATACAGTGCTGTGGGACGGGGAGAGCCGCTGGACCCCTGTGAGCATGGCCGACCTGGTGACCCCGGCGCAGGTGAAGAAGCAGTACCGCCGTGCAGTGCTGGTCGTGCACCCCGACAAGGTGAGTGTGAGGAGTGCATCCTATGGGGGGTGCTGGCGGGGCAGCAGGCAGTGGGCAGCGGCTTTCACCTGCACCCCCACAGGCCACAGGGCAGCCGTATGAGCAGCATGCTAAGATGATCTTCATGGAGCTCAATGACGCCTGGTCCGAGTTTGAGAACCAGGGCTCCCGGCCCCTCTTCTGAGGCCCCCGTGGGGCAGCTGCAGGAGCGCCAAGGAGTCCCAGGGCATGGGCCTGACCAGGAGGCGCGAGGCGGCCCAGGCGGTCGTCCCACTGTGTGCCTCCCCAGCCCCAGCAGAGGCTGCTCCCGGCACAGGAGAGAAGCATTCCAAAGCCGTTCTATGTTCTGTTCTCCTTTTCTGTCCCAGAGGAACAGTGTTGCCTGTGCCCTCCCACGTGTCGCGGTTTGTGGTTTATTTGGTGTCTGCCCGTTGCCTGAGCGACGGCATGGGCGCTGTTCTGCTGCCTGGGTCTGCAGTGCGCGCCCCTCTTTGTAACCTGTCTGATGATCGTCTGTACATATTAAACTTATTTTCTGATGACTGTCACAATCTCCAGAGTCATTGGATTATTGGATTCTGCTTCTGACCTGGAGTCAGGGGCACAGGCCAACATGGCCGGCAAAGGACACTGTGCTGGCATCTGAGATGGAGGAGAGGGAGGGAGGCTGACTGGAGCATTGTCTCCTGCTCCCTGAGAACTGAAGGTCTGCACGCTGGCTCGTGGTCACAGCTTCTCTGAGCATGTCAGGACCCTTCCCACCCACACTGGGCTGCAATGGGCTCAGGCCACTGCCGGGACACTTGCTGGCAGGTCTGAGCCCTCTGTGGGCCTCCAGGATAGCCTCCAACTGCCTGGGCCTGGCTGCCACCTGCAGCAGGGGCTCAGGGGCTGAACTCCAGGCCCCCCAGTCACTGTGGGGCCATGACCAAGCTATGGAGCAGCTGCAGGCTGCAGCTTCTGGGGCTGGGTGTCCCAGGTCATAGAGAGCTGTGAGTGCTATCCCAGGACAACCAGGCCCCGTCAGAAGGGGCCACAAAGTGCCATGAGACCACACTCAGGCGAGGCCCTGGCTGGTAGCAAGACCAGCGGTCCCCAGGCGTGGTCAGCAGGAGGAGGCAGCAGAGCCTGGGGGAGCTCCCACAGTGCTCTGGTGGATTGGTCTGTTTGCAGTTTGCTGAGAAACTGCAGGGAAAGCCAGCCAGGTCGCTCGGACAGTCACTGCTTGTGGCTCAGGGCAGCAGCCCTCTGCCTCCAGGGCGGAGTCTCAGCCTGCTGGCTGTGCTGCAGCAGGTGGGCCAGGCGGGGCCTGGGTTCTGTCCTCAAGGAAGGCAAGGTCCAGTTGCTTGGGCTGCTGTGTCACATGTGAGTGGGTGGCCCTGGGGACCTTGTCCCTTGTGGGCCATGCCTGTCATTACAGGGCTTGCTGCTCACGGGGGATCTGTAGGCAGCTGTGTCTGGGGCCCCAGGGTCACATCATGTCTGGCCTCACGCAGTGGGCCCACCCTGGGCCTGCCCTGGTGCTGTCCCCGCCCTGAAGCCAGGTCAGTGCTGCAAGCTCACAGCGTCCCTGTGCAGCCTCTGCAAAAACCTCACAGAGCCAGTGAGACCGAGCCAACGAGATACCCGGGGAAAGCCAGACACTGACCAGAGCCTGCTCCTCCTGGGGCCCGTTCACGTGGGGAGTGGGCCGAGGGACATGTCTGGGAGGGTTTGGGGCCTCAGGTCCCTGCAGTGCCAGGGCCCCACCTGTCCCTGGGGCCTGTTGGCAGCAGTGCTCTCTGGGGAACCCGAGCAGGCAGCCTGTGGTCTGGCAGCTGGTGGAGAAGGGAGGCCACCAGGGTGCATAGTGGAGCCTGGTCATCCTCCTGGACTGCAGGGCCCAGGACTCCCCTTGGTGACAGCAGGACGTGGGAGGGGCGTTGGTCCCCACAGGGAGCCTTGGCCTGGAGCTGCTGCATCCCCTTAGCCCGTCGTGGCGTGGTGGCCACCGCAGCCGCGCACCGCAGCCCATGCTGAGGGCCTGACTCTGTCAGTGGCTGATGGACGGATGGCTGCTCTTCTTGGTGCTCAGCTCAGGGCGTTCTTCATTCCAGCTTAGGACCCGCAGGCTCGGGAGGCCCCACGGAGCCCAGGTGCCCTCCTGGAGGTGGGCACTGGGGACAGGAACCCCTGTGCAGTACCACCCTGGGCCTGGAGTGAAGGGCTGAGACCTGAAGGACCTTGGGACTGGAAAAGCCCCCGGTGCTGGGAAGAGGGTGGGCTGGGGCCGAGGGTTCCTGGAGCCATGGAAGGGGCAGGGTGCAGGCAGGGACCTCGCTGACCCCCACTTCCCTGAGGATGGGATGGACCCCAGCCCCAGCCACTCCTGGGGCCTCTTGTTGTGCCCCTCTTCCCTCACCCAGATCCAAGTGCTGCCCCTGAATTCTGCGGGGTCAGTGTGCCCCCAGGACAAGCTCATCCCACCCACCCAGAAGCCACCGGACAAGCTCATCCCACCCACCCAGAAGCCACCGGCAGTGTCCAGGTTCTGCTGAAGTTGAGAGGGAGGCGGGGAGAGGACCAGGGAGGGTCCCAGCTGCAGGAGAGGGGCACGCCAGCCAAGCCCCCTCAAGCCCAGCAGGCATTTGTGGCCTGTGCCTGGGACACCCACCATTGAGAGGTCCTCAGCAGACTGTGCCAGCCTCTGGGTCCTTGACAGGAGCTGGCTGCAGACACAGTTGCTCGGGACCTGTGCTCATTAACACCCCGGGATCTGGGGCCCTGCACTTCCTCCAGGGAGCACAGCCTGTGGGTGCGTGGGCCACACTGGAGGCCTAAGAAGGGTGCCTGGGTTGCACCCCCTGTGAAAGCCAGCACCGTCCTCAGAGCAGGTAGCCAGCATCACTGGCCAGCTGGCAGCTTGTCACAGCTACTCAGGACAGTCAGGACCAAGAGGCCACAGCGGGTGATCAACTTGGGGGGACATGGACTGTGCACACTGCACTTTGGGAAAGCATGACTGTCACTTAAAGGGAAACCCAGATTCATTGCACAAAGGCACAGTCCCCTGCTTGGACCTTAGGGACAGCTCTGGCTGCACAGACCTCCCCTCGGGCACCAGCAGGGGCATGGGCAAGCAGGGGCATCCATGGGGCGACCACGGCCAGGCCGCCGTGGGCGTGACTGGCATCGATCTCGGAGCTCACGCCCATGGAGGAAGCCACGTGGAAAGCAGTGTCCTGTGAGCTCCCCCTAGAGTCCTGGCTGGTGGGAGCTGCTCTGCAGAAGCCCCCCACACCCACTGGGTGGGGGTGCTCATGCGGGCAAATCCACGCGCTGGGCTCCTCCAGCTCTGCCCCAAGTTGCATGTGTCCCGCTTTCCTGGGGAGGGTCCAGACCTTGGGTGATAAGCCCCCGTGGGTGAAGGGAACTGCTTCCGGGGGAGCCCAGTAGGGGCCTCTTCCCTGGGTAGGGCAGCTCTCTGACCTCAGGGCCTCCAGAGGAAAGAGCTGCAGAGAGGGCAGCGTGCAGGGAGCAGGACCCTGAGGGGCAGCGTGCCCAGCCTGATGGGCGTGCGGGCCGGGTGGTGGTATGGGTTGGGCCCACCACCCCACCATCACAGGTCCCAGGCTGGAGCCCACCCCTCTCTTCCCATCCTGGCTGCAGCCCTGCGAGGCAGCTGAGCAGCCGGCTGGGGCTGGGGTTTCAGCCAGTCTGGTGCTGGGGTGGCCATGGGTGGGTCTCGGCCCTCAGGAGTCTCCAGTTGGTTGGTTGCCATCTTCACTGAGCACATACCCCCCCAGGGAGCACAGAAGCACCCCCAACACGTCCCTGAGACTGGCAGAGGGACTGATCTGGGCAGAGGCTGCTCTGGCCCTGGAGACCTGCCACCAGGCGCAGGGGCTGCAGAGGCACCACTGCCCAGTCCTTCCCAGGAGACTCAGAAACTGGTTGTCCTCGCTTCAAAGTCAGAAGGCAGTGCCCAACCCCCGGGGGCCTCTGGTGGCCCAGCTCCTGTGGGCAGCTGGCATTCCAAAGTGATCCTACACCCTGGATAGGAGGGGCACAGCCCAGTCCATCGGAACGGGAGGTCCTCACAGGCCCCACTCCTGGAGCCACCCACGCAGCCTCCTCGCCAGGGAGGGAGTGGACCAGGAACAGCCTGACGCCTGTTGGAGGACCACCCTTGCTGCAGGGGAGCAGGAGGTGTCCACTGCCTGGGCCCTGGGCTGAGTGTGTGCCTCCTGCACTCCTCACTCCTGAGCCTGGAGCCCTGTGGCCAGCGTGCACAGGGACAGCGGTGGAGGGGGACTACATTGGCTGAGCAGGGCCAGTTCCAGGACTGCAGGCGCACAGGGCCATCAGGGCGCGGCAGGCCTGGGGCCTCTCTGGGTGAGGAGCTGGCTGCAGACTGCAAAGACAGGCAGAAGGAGGGGATCAGACAGTGAATCCGTGAGGAACACAGGCAGGGGCAGCTGGGGTGGGCAGCCAGCTCCTGTCAACAACTTGGAGGCTGGTGGCGGAGAGGCCAGGACTGGGATGAGAAGACAAGGCTCCTGTCACAGGATGTGTCCTGAGCCACTGTTGGGAAGATCTGGGTAAGATGACAGCCCAGCCTGTCCGCCCTGCCCCTTCCACTGCTCCTGTGTCCCCAGGAGCCCCTCCCCTCACCTGTGGTACTGCAAGGCCCAGGTGCCACGGGGCTCAGCCCACGGGCCTGTGTAGAGCTGGGGGTCCAAGCCGAAGCCCAACCTGAGCAGCCTTCTTGGCATGGGGGTCCCAGGGGAGCACGGCAGGCTTGCCCGACATTCTGGCCATGTGCACAGACTGAGGGCACAGGCACCCTCTGATCCGCATCGCCCCCTCCCAGCTGGCTGCAGCCTCAGCACCTCCCCGAGGTTGGCCTTGGCACCCTCAGCACCTCCCTGGCCCAGGCACTCCACAGGGCTGGCCCCAGCACCACCTCTCCGAGGCCGGCCCGGCCACCTCCACGGGGCTGGTCCTTGGCCTGCTGCACTCAGGCTTCTCCTTCCTATGCCAAATAGAGGGTTTTCTGTGGTCACCAGGGCTTGTCCCCTCCTGGCCCTGGCGTTTCATGGGATCATTAGGCTGCTTCAGATGGGCTTGGACCCCCAGCCCATGCTCACCTGTTCTCACCGCCTGGGATCATCCCCAAGGGGCTGACACAGGCCAGGACACAAATGTATACAGCGGCCGTTTGGGGGCCATTAAGAGGCAGGCGGCACCAAGCGGAGGTCCCCGAGAGGAGGGAGAGGTGAGGGCACCACACACCAGCTCACTGCAGGGGCTGGGCACGTGGCAGCCCCTGCTGAACTGGGGGCTCAGCCAGTGGGAGGAAGATCCGGCAGGAGAAGCCCAGGACCTTCCCTGGGCCCTGGACATGGAAAACGTCTCCTCAAACTTATTTTTAAAGAATTGCTGCAGTGAAGCAGCAGCCGTACGAAATGCAGGCGCCAGGCTTCCCGGACAGAGCTGGCTGGAAGGTTGGCAGGTCTGGGCGAGACCGGGACCTGGAAACGGAGTCCTGTGACAGTCGCAGGCCACCGAG